TATTAAAATTATTGATATTTTTATTCTCAAATATCTATTAATATTTTTTTTAATTTAATTTATTCTTCAGCTATTGATTATATTCTGAATTGGTTTTTAAAAAAGAAGTCTCTTTAATCTATCTAATCGATTTCCATAAATCGCATATTTTTTAAATATCTAAATTAAAAAAGTAAAGTTACAAATCATTTATTTATCCTAACTATTTCTTTTTTAATTGCATTTTTATATGTGAAATTTCACTTTAAAATTAACCGCCCCCTATTTATTATATTAATAAGCGCATTTCACAACAAAAAAAGTTTAATCTTTTCTTATTAATAATTTTATTTAAAAATAAAATTTATAAAAAATAACGAAATATATGCAAAATCAAGAATTTTTAATAATATAGATATTCTAAATATTTCGAAAAATGAAAAATTGATCATGATTTATTGAATTTAGCATGTAATCCATAAGAGTAACATATTTTTTTAAATTAATTCTAGTCGGCAATAATATTATTATCATCAATGTAGTACAAAACGTCTTTAATTAATTCTAAAGTATCAATATCTACTTTATGAAAGTCAATATAATCTTTGCTTATCTGTCCATCCTTGTCTCCATCTAACAAATTGAAAATTTTCACCATTTAAATATCAAATAATGTTTGCTCACTTTATTGTGACTAAATTCTAGTTTCAGAAGAACTAAAAGAATTTTTACTACCTAAACGAGATTAGATCTTTTATAAATCAACTGCAAGTTATGAGTCTTCATAATCTCTTTATTTGCTAACTTTGATAAATGTTTAATCTTTGTTAATTTTTGGATGAAAAGTATACTAATTTTACATAAGTATTTAAAGTCTAAAATAAAATTGAAGTCTTACCTTTTTTTTTCTATCCTCTGTCTTTTTTCCTCATGTTCTTGAACTAATTTTTAAACTAAATTTTTTTAATTTTCAGGATTTACACTTGTAGTTGGACGATTAATTTAAGGCCTGAAAGTATGAACCTTTTGAAACTCTTAATTGGCGAATTCCTCTTTTTTTTTTTTATCTTCTTAAGCCTATTTGAATAATTTTTCATAAATAGGTGTAACTGATCTATTTTGAGAACAATTTCTACTAACATTGGTTTATTTTTTGGTTTATTAAGGAGATTCCTTTCTTCTTTGTATTTGAACTTAAGTTCTATTTTATAATTTTTTATTATTTAATTCTTTATTCTTTTACTAAGCATATAATACATCTTCATTAATATTATTTTCTGGTTTACTTACTTTTTTTTTCTATTGAGTAATTAATTTAGATCTAGGCGATACCAAAGGTTTGAATGTTGCTTATTTTGATTCTTATTATAACTTTTAAATCTTCATCATTTCAGCCTTTTCGTTTTTATTTTTTTGAATATCTAATCCTTCTCTATATAGGCGTTCGTTTGCTGTGATTTTTTTATTTTCGTTGAAAGCTAAAATGATAATAAATTTGAAATATTTACATCTTGCTGTGTTAGGAACACTCCATTAAACAGTATTCTAAGATATGTTTAATAATTATTTGAGATCTGTCTTTTTATTCATGAGTTATTACCATTTTTCATAACTTTTTTATGCCGAATTTTCTTCAACACTGCTAGCTTATGTAGTGTAGCAGACTTCACTTTATTAGCTTTAATTTGTTTATAATGGTTATTGTGTTCTAAAATTTTAACCAAAACTATCTCCAAATCTTGGGGAAGGTTCTTTTTTTAATTATTGATTTATTTGATCAATCAAGTATTAAACATATTTTTATTCTAGCCCTTTCTATTAGCAAAAAATTTCCACTATTTCTTTAATGTCATCTTCTTCGTATATCTTAATTTCTTCAATCTAATCTTCTAATTCTAGACTAATGACAGCGATTGGAAAGGGTTCTGGTTCAGTTGAATTAAACATATATTATTAAATTTTTATTTTTTTTAATATGAACTCACTTGCAAGCATTAACAATGTGAATGAAATCTTCTTTTAATGAAGCGCCTCCAACTAAAAAGCCATCAATATTTGGTTAGCCAATAAGAACTGCGGCATTGTCCTTTGTTACAGATCCACCATATAAAATTCTTATTGATTAATCTGGAAGTAATTTTCTTATATTTGCATGTATTTATTCAGCATATTCTGGAGTTGCTGTCTTACCTAAATTTATTATTTGTTTATGCAATACCTGTTCCGATGGCCCAAACTGGTTCATAAGCAATAACAACCTTACTCCAATCTTTAACTTAAGCAATCAAGGGATTCAATTGTTTCTCTAAAACAGTTTGGGTTTCTTAAGCTTCCATCTCTTAAATGGTTTCTCCAATACAGAATATAACAGATAATCCATTGTTTATAGCTAAAACAGCCTTATTGGCAATAAACTCTTCACTTTCTGAAATTTCTGGGGTTCTTCTTCTTTCACTATGACCCAAAATAACCCAATTAATTTTGAGATCTTTGACATGTTCAAAACTAAGTTCACCAGTAAATGCACCATATCCTTTATGTCCAATGTTTTATAGAGCTAACTACACATTATTCTTAATTGCTTATTAGACAGGAACAATATGAAGAGATACAGGGGAAACCACAACATCTAAATTATCAAACTCTAATTTGTTCACAACACTATCAACTAATTCCAAAGATTTGGCTAATGTGTTGTTGCTCTTCCAATTTCCTCCAATGAATCTTTTTCTTTAAACTTCCATAAACAAAATTAAGATTTTATTTATTATTAGAAATGTAGATAGTACGCACTTTAAATTATGTATTCAAAAATATTTTGTAAATAAATATGATTAGAATAGAATTAACATTCAATATGATAGGGAATTATAAATTTTTAAAATCATAAACTATTTATGATAAAATAGTTATATTATGTTAAAACATAGGTCATCAAACTTATTGAAAATTTAACGCAGCTAAATAATATTAATTTATTAAATCAAATTCAATTTGAGCATTTCGTAAAAATTAGATACCTGAATAAGATGAAATAATAAATTTATGGTATAAATATATATCTAAAATCAATAAATCAATAAAATAATTGAATAGAGGCTCCTTAATCTTCAGAAATAGGACCTTGGATTAATTTCTTTAATTTTCCTAAAACTATCTTAGATTATTGAATAAAATCAAAAATAAATGATACAGCTAAAATTGATGTGGATGCAAAAATATGAATCCATCCTAAATTAATTAAGTTTTCTAGATTTAAGGATAGTTCTACTCTGTATGCGTAGATAATGAAGGATATTGTGTTAAAAATTATAATTGATTCAGTAAAAAGGGTTTTAAAATACTCATAAGAATTCGCTAAAGGTTTGCTTATCATAAGATAACATAAAAACATTGTTTAGTTAATAGCAATACATAATGTTTAAATTTGACCTTCCTGTTACATAAATACTATTAAGCTTATGAAAATCAATTTTTTAACAAGCAATACAGCGTTATATTAAGTAACCCAAATTGATTTTGATTCCAAGACTCCTTCAAACAAGGCATCAAATTATTTCTTAGGTTTTAATGTAGATGTACTCTAGAAGCTTTGCATTACACTAAAAGTATAAATTGAAACAGTAATGTAAGATATAAAAGCTAGGACTGATAAACAATAGTTGATTACTAGAACAAAATCTTGACTTTGAAAATATGATAATTGTATAGTCATGGCAAAACATAAATCATAAGAATTAGACATGATTATTCTGAGAATACCATTATAGTAAAACTCTTAGGATTTTTGTTTCAAGCTTCTTCTTCCAGAATATATCCATTTTCCAATTGTTAAATTGAATTTTGATATATAATAAGGTCCAATTCTGTAGAGTAATATGTGTGCATGTTTAGTTATCAAATAGCCTCCATAGGCAGAAATGAAACAGAATAGAAAGCTCTAAAAATTAGTAAGAAAGTAAGCATTAATTTCATCCTTAAGAAATTTATTAGTAGTTAGGATAAAATAAGAGCCTTCTCCATCTAAGGAATCAAATAGCTTATCAATTCCAAGAGCAGCCATTAAAGGAGAAATGGTAATTAATTTAAAAACATCAAAGTAAATATTTAGATTGTTTGGAAATTGAATATTGATGTATTTAATATAAGATAAGTATTGTAATTGGTCCATGAGATTCCAAAAAATATCAGAGGAACCTGTTAGTAAGCATAAAGTGGATAAACCTGCTAAAGCATAAATTACAGCTTGATTGAAGGCTGAAGCACTTTCAGCCATAGCTTTTTGAGCTTCACTTAGAACTGATGGTGTAAGTAAAACTAATGATTTTGATTATTCTTGAAGAGTTAAATTAAATTCTGATAGTATTGGGTCATTTAAAAATGTAATTTAGAACACAGGATTATCGACAGGAACAAAAAAATTGATCCTGAAATTTAAAATAATTTCAGTAATTTCATCAATTTAACTAGTTTTTTAAAAATTTTAAGTGATTTTAAATTCGCTATTTTCCATGTTAAGGATGTCAACATTGATAAAATTGAAGATTTCATTATTTACTTTGTTTGCAAACTTCATTTTTTGATCAAATTTGACTTGGACATCTTCATAATCTTCAGGATTTTTAGTTAAAAGATTTATTGTGAAGAATGGTTGCTTAGAATAAAAACAATTAGAGAAACTGCCTTCATTATTAAAGCAGGTGAAATCTTGTTCAACAACACAATGAGAATTACAACCATCTCCATTATCCAAGTTCCCATCATCACATAATTCTGCTGATTTTACAAAATAACCATCTCCACATTTTGCAAGACAAATATTTTATTCTACAAATCTACCTAATTCACATTTTTAACACACTCCTTCAACACATTCCAGACAATATTAATCACACGCTAATAAACATTTATAACAACCATCATTAAAATCATCATTCATATCATCACATTATTCATATCCAATGACAATTCCATCTCCACAAAATGGAATACATCTATGATATTCTATTACCCAACCAATAACATTACATTCATAACATATACCTAATTCACATAAAGTACAAATTTCTTCACACTGGTATTAACACATAAAACAACCATCAAATTATATTGAATTACCATCGTCACATTATTCTTATCCTTAAACAACATATCCATCACCACAAACAGGGAAACAAATATGGTTTTTTAAGTCCCACCCTTAAACCTTACAGGCATTGCAAATACCTAATTAACAATCTGTACATTCAGGTTAACACTAATATAAACATTAGAAACATCCATCATATGGTATATTATTACCATCATCGCATTCTTCCTTCCCTACTACAAGATTATCTCCACAAATAGGTATACAGTAATTCCAATCCAATTACCAACCTTCAGTATTACATTCTTCACAAAAACCCTTAATACATTTGGTGCATTGTTTTTAACATTCAAAATAGCATTCATAACAACCATCCTCTCCTATTTCATTGGCATCATCACATTATTCATTTCCCATCACAAGTGCATCACCACATACTGGTTAACAATCTTTTGTTGTTATATTGATCTCCCATCCAATTCCAATACATTAATAACAAAGACCCTGCACACAAGTTGTACATTATTTATGACATTAATAATTGCAATCAGAACATCCATCATGGCTAATCTTGTTTCCATCATCACATGATTCATTTAAAGCAATTATCTCATCACCACAAATACTAAAACAACTATTTGTTTTTGTATTTAGATAATAGCCATTTTGACATTCCTCACAAATTCCTTCGTTGCAAATTTTACAATTAATATCACAAGAATACTAACAATTAAAACAACCATCATATGGTTATTAATTGCCATCATCACAAATTTCTTCCAATGACTTTATCCCGTCTCCACAAAAAGACACACATTCATTATTAAATTTATCCAATTTTCCATAACCAGAAGATTTCAGACATTATTAACACATTCCCTAAACACAAGATATACAAAATCTCGGACAATCAAATTATCTCTAAAAACAACCATCTTATCCTATTAGGTTCATATCATCACAGTTTTCCTATCCAACTATTAAGCCGTCATTATTAATTTCATAACATCTTTTTAAAAAAAGATAATATCCTCTATTACAATCATAACAAATTCCATATTGACATTTTGAACATTATTATTGACATGAATACTGAGATAGATAACAACCGTCATTTGAGATTTAATTAAAATCATCACATTATTCGTTACCAACAATCAAAGAATCTCCACTTATAGGATAACATTATTTATCATATGAATTCAATATCCAACCCTTTTTACATTTCAAACAAAAATTACGATAGCAAATTTAACAAGATTCTTGACATAAATATTTACATTTAAAACACCCTTAATCTTTTAAATCATCACATTCTTCGTAATCTTGTACATGAATTCCATCACCACAAATTGTTTCACATTTCATCTCTAAAGGATTGTATTCCCATCCCTTAGTATTGCATTCTAAACATCCCATACTTGAACAATTCGAACATGAGTCTTAACAACTTAATTTACATTTAAAACAACCATCAAATTATATTAAATTTCCGTCATCACATATTTCAGAATTTACTAAACGACCATCACCACAAATAGGTATACAAGAATTAGTTTTTAGTTGCAATGAATATCCAGTGTTACAATATTAACATTTACCCTTTTCACATCTTGAGCAATTTGGTACACACGAATATTCACAATTATTACAACCATCATTAGGATTCTCATTTTGATCATCACATTATTCATATAAATATGTTACTATTCCATCACCACATTTTGGTTAACAAATGTTGTCTTATAAATACCATCCATTTTATTCCTCACATTTTAAACAAACACCAAATTAGCAACTCAAACAATTTTGTACACATTAAAATTTACAATTAAAACATCCGTCGTATGGTTTCAAATTGTTATCTTCACATTCTTCTATAGATACTATTTTGTTGTCTTAACAGATATTAACACATTTGTTTTCAACTAATGAGAATCCAATATTACAATCTTCACAAATACCTCTTACGCATATATTACATCCAAAGTCACAACTATAATTGCAATTATCACAACCATCAAATGGATTAGAATTCCCATCATCACAATCCTCTCCATCAACTACTAATTAATCTCCGCATATTGGGACACATGGTAAATTAATTCCATCATCATAATATCCAGGTTAACATAAACAAATATTAAATGATATTGATCTATGAAAATCGGGGACACAAGTTATGCAATCACTCTCTCCTCCTCCATTACAATTTTCACAATATTTATTACACGAAACACATTAGTTACCAGATAAATAAGTGAATGGATAACATTAACATATACCATTTATTAAATAGAATTTATTAGTAAGTGTGTAAATACAAGATGTACAGTCTTCTTAACTTTTGCATGTTAAGCAACCAGGTTGATTACATACAACACAACTATATGTTTATGCATTCTCATCAAAAGATAAAAATTCATTAGATAAACATGATGAACTTGTGCGCCCCGGTTCCCAAGTATTACAAACTGTTGCACTTATGCAATCTGAACAAAATGGTTGGCACTAATTTTAAAATTGATAATTACATAATGAACTACAATAAAATATTCAGAAATAGCACAAAATTCTTATCTTACATCTGCATTACCGCCTTTGCATTCTAATTCGAGATATAAAGAAGCTGATGAAAATAAATCTAAGAAAATTTCAAAGTTTCTAATTCTTTCATCTTTATTTCTACCAATAATATTTTACCCACTATTAGGTCTTGGAAAAGGACCATATTAGGAATTTTCAATTTTATAGTAAAAACCTCCTGAATATTCATCTCCATAGGTAACATTAAATCTTATAGTAACAGCATAATGTGGTTTTAGAATACTCCATGATTTTATGTATTTTGCATCATTCCAGACCATAAGACCACCTAAGACAAATTTATTAGGAAAAAAAGAGAATTTTTATCCTGTTTTCAAATTGCTGTTACCAACAGTTTAGACAGAAGTATAAAATGACTCAACTTCCTCATATGTCATATTTAAATCATAAAACCCTTTTGCTAAATATCGTGAATCTATTATAAGTCTTATTATGATTACATGATATCATATCTGCATAATCAATACAATTAGAAGAATATACAGGACAACTTGTGACACAACCACCTTAATAAAGAATGTAATTTGACTCACACTAAAAACAAGTTGAAAAGTCAGTGCAAATTTTACAATTTTCTTTACATAATCCAGCATCTATAGTCACATTTCTAAATCCCCATGATTCACTAGAAGTTTACAATTTTCCTTAAATATACAATAAAGGGTTATTTGAATATACTCTTAAAACTGATTCAATTCTTATGAGAGTATATGACTTAGAATTGCATGAATTTGAACCAAATGAAATTTTTACAATATTATTATAGGAATAACTTGATGGTATTTTTAATAACTCTGCTTGTTAAATATTATCTATAAAAATTTAAATCTTGCTATCAGTTTAAAAATTAAAACAATAAAATGAAATTCTCAATCTAATAAATTTAATAGCGTTAATTTTACCCAAAAATAATTACATCCCTTCATTAAAGTATAATTCTCCAACAAAGTCATTACCGTCACAATTATCATAAACTAAATCTGTATTTTAATAATGAAAAATATCTGGAATGAATTAAAAAGGCTTATATCTTGGGAAATCAGAAGATGATATTGAATTTGAATCAAAATATTTTTAATTAGACTTTATTCTTCTATCAGGAACACAAATTTAGTCTGATCTTGCTATATAATAATCTCTTTCACACTCCTAACGACATCCAACAGCAGATTGTGCAAATTAGTGAGACGGATCACATAAACAAGCATCTCCTGCCTATAGTGTTTGATAATAACATGATGTGCAAGTAGTAGAAGTAGAACATGTTTTACACGTTGGATAACAAATGTTTGCATATACTAATAAGTTTCTGATAAAAACAGAAATGTAATCTTACTATGGATCCATACAAAATGCTATTATAAAAGAATTTGCAAATTTATTAACTGTTGTACTTACTACCGTATTTAGATCAAATTCATAATCACCTCCCCCTGTACATATTCGATTTGATTTCTAAACAAGATCCTAATTTTTATAATTTTTAGAGTAAATGATAGATTAAGAGGATGAACCTTCTTAATATGTTACATTGAAACGACTGTCAGATGAATCTGAATAATCAAAGTAAACATCGAAAATCACATATACTTAAAAACTCTGTTAATTAAACTATTTTTGGATTCTCTATCTATCTTTTCGTAATCTCTAAAATTCCAAGGAATTCGAAGAACATTATCCTGTTTAAAAATTTTCTTAGCAATTGTTATTGCATAAACAACTTCTTCTTGTAACCCAATTATTACTTGAGACTGTTGTACTATAAAAACTTTAGTCAATTTATATCCAATCCTCTTTTGTCAAACTGACCAATAATGATATAAAAAAAACAAACATAAAATTATTATTAATGTCGTCATGTACTCAATAAAAATTAAAGCAACACTTAATTAAATAAATATATCATTAATTACATTATCAAAAACAAAGTATAAATCATCAACCTTTTTCTAAATTTTCCTCTTCATTCTTCTTATAATGGATCTCTTCAAACTCTTTTCCTTTCATAAAATAAAAAAATATAATTTTTTCATAATACATATAAAAATTAATTGTTTTCTCAATTATTATTCATGATTTTATATCAAATTAAATATCATAGAATATGTTATAACGCTTATATTAGAATTATCAATTTTAATAGTTTCTTAAGATTATATACTTTTGATTTGTGATATACTCTATCTTTTACTGTAATTTAAATATCAAAATACTAAATCTTTAATACTTAAAAACAAGTTTTATTTCAAAAAAATTTAATAATTATTTCCTTTTTTGTATAGAGGAAATAATTAGAAAAAATATTTTCATTATTTTTTTTTAAATCTTTTTATACTTAATGAAATTTTAATATATAATCTGATGTTCTTTCATATTAGAGTCTTCTTTCAAATCGATTCACTTTTTGTTCAATAGTCAAAATGATAATGATGTATAAGCAAGAATTATGATTAATCTCTGAAAGGAACTCTATTTACATATTTCTAGGTTTATTGAAAAATTTCTAAAGAGGAATAAATAATCATCCTTCTTTCTCTAATCAATAAATGATGCACTCTTACAATATGAATTTAATGTCAAAATATCAATATTTTAATTTACTTGATTTCTAAAGCGAATCCATCGAAAAGTCACCATATCAAACTAAAATTTAAAAAAAGCCTATTTTAGATGCTCCATGTCTACAAAATAGAGGTAAAGGAAAGTTTAATGAAACCGAATCCAGATTTATTTTCAAAGAATATTATTTATCTCTCAAATTCATTTGATTGATAATAACATTAATGAGTACTATTTTGCAGTTAAAAAGTATCAATAGAACCCACTATAATTTTTTAAACCAATATTATACTCAAAAAATAAAAATGATTTCTTAAGAGGATTCTTAATTATTAATGAATATGGAAAATTTTTAATCCTATAAAGATTTATAATCGAGCTTTTTAAAGAATTTAAGATTATTTCTTTACCTAAATATGATAAAATTGTCTTAACCATTAAATCTTTATTAATTTTTAAGATTTCTTATTAAACTAATTCAAAATTGACTAATTTACTGTCAATAATAATCTAGTTAATACTTTTTTGCCAAATTAAGACAAATTCTTTACGGATTCACTATAAACTTCTATTAATTAAAGCTTATGCTCCCAAATTTATTACCAATATCTGTTAAGCAAAGCTTGAAAATTTATAAAATATGTTTAGCCTTTTTTACTAAGTGAGGAAAATAAAATTTCTTTTATTTTAAATCTAAGAATCCATAACCTTATTAAGATATTTAATCATATTTTAATTATAAAACTATTCAATTCAATTGAATAATGGATTTATTAAATTAGCATAATTTCTAATATTAATTGAAAATTTAACATAAGTTTATTCATTTAAAAAAAAAACTATAATATTTTTATTAAATTAGATTTCTGTTTCTAAATTTTATTTTTGGAAATTATTTTTTTCTCAGTTTGACTAAGCTCTCAAAATATACATCTGTCAACTTAATTATGAAACTAATAAAAATTATTTAATAACAATCCACTCGTTTAATATTTGCTTAAAAAGCGCTGATTTAATTTACGTTTAGAACGAATTTTTAAATGGTTAATATGAGAGAGCCATTTTTATAAAATCATTTACTCTCCTATTTAATAAACTTTGTTTATAATTTTATTGTTCAATATTTTTTTATAAAACACCCCATTTTAATAAATTTAAGAGAAGCAAACAAATTAAAAACTATTATAAAAGGGATTTTAAGTCAATTGAATTATCAAAATTGAATATGGGACTGATATCGAAAATAAATCTTGAATGTTAATAAATTTAACAATTTGCAATAGAGATAGATAAATTATGATTTAATACAGTAATATTTAAGGTGCTTAAAAAGACAAGATTCTTCATTAAAGAGAAGAAAATCGACTAATGAAAAATTTATAAGGATTTATAGATGATAAGTAAGCTTAGATACAGAATATATTGAATAGTTTTATTATTTAAGTATTTTCTAATATAAAAATAAAATAAAAATTTATAAACAAATATCTGTTTTGTGAATAAAAAAAAATATTTCTAAACATCATTAGAGTTAATTGAATACTTAAAAATAAATTGATTATATTTTTTGTTAAGATTTATGGGAATTGAGTTGAATAAATATAATTTAGAATATTAATATTAATTTGAAACATTTTATTTTGTCAAATATGGCAGATCCTAAAATGATTTAATTAGAATTATAGACACCACATATTTTAAGTAGTTAAGATCAAAGAGAAATGCAAAATTTATTTGGTAATAAAAAAAAATAAGAATAGAATATTAGTACGATAATGTTGAAGCAAAAGGAAATTATGCCTAGAAATATTAATCAAAAAACAGAAAAATTACATCTAATAGACCAGATTTTTAGTTACCTGACAATAGTATTTAAACATCTAAATACACTTTNTTAATTGAAAATTTAACATAAGTTTATTCATTTAAAAAAAAAACTATAATATTTTTATTAAATTAGATTTCTGTTTCTAAATTTTATTTTTGGAAATTATTTTTTTCTCAGTTTGACTAAGCTCTCAAAATATACATCTGTCAACTTAATTATGAAACTAATAAAAATTATTTAATAACAATCCACTCGTTTAATATTTGCTTAAAAAGCGCTGATTTAATTTACGTTTAGAACGAATTTTTAAATGGTTAATATGAGAGAGCCATTTTTATAAAATCATTTACTCTCCTATTTAATAAACTTTGTTTATAATTTTATTGTTCAATATTTTTTTATAAAACACCCCATTTTAATAAATTTAAGAGAAGCAAACAAATTAAAAACTATTATAAAAGGGATTTTAAGTCAATTGAATTATCAAAATTGAATATGGGACTGATATCGAAAATAAATCTTGAATGTTAATAAATTTAACAATTTGCAATAGAGATAGATAAATTATGATTTAATACAGTAATATTTAAGGTGCTTAAAAAGACAAGATTCTTCATTAAAGAGAAGAAAATCGACTAATGAAAAATTTATAAGGATTTATAGATGATAAGTAAGCTTAGATACAGAATATATTGAATAGTTTTATTATTTAAGTATTTTCTAATATAAAAATAAAATAAAAATTTATAAACAAATATCTGTTTTGTGAATAAAAAAAAATATTTCTAAACATCATTAGAGTTAATTGAATACTTAAAAATAAATTGATTATATTTTTTGTTAAGATTTATGGGAATTGAGTTGAATAAATATAATTTAGAATATTAATATTAATTTGAAACATTTTATTTTGTCAAATATGGCAGATCCTAAAATGATTTAATTAGAATTATAGACACCACATATTTTAAGTAGTTAAGATCAAAGAGAAATGCAAAATTTATTTGGTAATAAAAAAAAATAAGAATAGAATATTAGTACGATAATGTTGAAGCAAAAGGAAATTATGCCTAGAAATATTAATCAAAAAACAGAAAAATTACATCTAATAGACCAGATTTTTAGTTACCTGACAATAGTATTTAAACATCTAAATACACTTTGTTAAATTTTTTTCCGAAATAATTATTTGAGTAATTCTCGAAATTAGCTAATGTTTATTTTGTGGTATGTTATAAATGTTAGTTTTAGTTAATGGGGGCACTTTAAATGGTTCCTGAAGTTTCAATAAGTTCTGGGATACCAACAATTTACTTACCATTAGGTTTTATAATATTAGTCAGTGGAGCAAAGGATTTCTACGAAGATTACAAGCGAAGGAAATCAGATATAGAGGAAAATAAATTATAAGTGACTGCATTCGATGGAACTGATTTTGTTAAAATTCCATCGTTTAATTTAAGAGTAGGTCATATAGTGAAGGTTTATTAGGATGAGATAATACCAGCAGATATATTGTTATTAAGATCTAGTGAGAAGAAAGGAATATGTTATGTTGAAACAAAATCATTAGATGGGGAGACAAATTTAAAATAAAAGAATGTACATTCTGATTTATTACAAACATTCAAATCTGATGATTGTTTTGGTTAATAAGATAAAAGAATAATCTTAAAGTATTAAGCTCCTACTCCTTACTTATATAAATTCATAGGTGAAACTACTACATCAAATTTGTAGGTTTCATCAATAAATTTTAACAATTTCTTATTAAGAGGATGTAATTTAAAAAATGTAAAGTATATTTTTGGATTAGTTGCTTATACTGGACATGATACAAAAATAATGATGAATTCTTTTAAAGCAAGAACAAAAAAAAGTAAATTAGAGGTATTGATGTAAAAATTCATCCTTATGATCTTCATAATCCAATTTATTATGTGCATAATTGCATCTCTTGTTTATTCAATCTATTATTACAATAATAGAAAGACTTTAACTTACTTATATATTGATGTTAATACATCTGAATATACTATTCCATATAATTTTTTTGTAAGATTTGGCAATTGGATGCTAATTTTTAATAATTTTGTTCCAATATCATTATTAGTTACTTTAGAAATGGTTAAATTCATATAAGGTAAGATAATGAGTTTAGATGAAAAATTAAATTAGCCAAGAGTATAGACATCTAATTTAAATGAAGAACTTGGATAGATTGAGCATATATTCAGTGATAAAACTGGAACTTTAACTTGTAATATAATGGAATTCAAATAAATTATTATGTAATCAAATTAATTTAATTTAGTCGAAATTAAAATTATGGAGACATTTTAAAAAGTTCAGAAAAATATATAACAGATGAAGAAATATAAAATTTTCCATTAGTTAGCAATGTTGATTTTAGAGATAAAACACTTATAGAAGCTATTTAAGATAAAAATCATGTGATGCATGAAAAAGTAGTAGAATGTTTAATGATGATAGCAATTTGTCATACAGTTATTTCTGAATAGAAAGATGGAAAATTAATTTATAATGCTACATCCCCAGATGAATTGGCATTATTAAATTTTGCAAGATTTGTTGGATTTGAATTTTTGGGAACTGACGAAAATAATATAAAAAGAGTTAGTTTTTAAGATTAGATAATGGAATATTAACTATTAGAAACATTTGAATTTACATCTTAAAGAAAGAGATAATCTATATTAGTATAAGTAATAAAGACAGGAGAAATATATTTATTTTCTAAAGGAGCAGATTCAGTGTTATTAGATTATGTAAGATTATCTAATGAAGAATTGAATAAGAATGAATATCATTAATTAGTTTAAAGACTTGAAGAATATGGTAAAATAGGTTTGAGAACTTTAGTATTATCTAAAAGAAAATTAGGGAAATAGGAATATTAAGAATGGCATAAACGTTATCAATAGGCAACATAATTAATAGAAAATAGAGAAGAAAAAATGTAGGTTTTATAAGATGAATTAGAAAAAAACTATGAAATATTGGGAGCAACTGCAATAGAAGATAAATTATAATAAGATGTAGCTGATACAATAGCTGCTGTAAAAGCTGCTGGCATTAAAGTTTGGGTATTAACAGGAGATAAAATTGAAACTGCTATTAATATAGGTTACTCTTGTTCTTTATTAACTAATCAATTAGTATAACATATTGTAGATGAAAAAGAAGAAGCTTTAATAAAAGAAAGATTAGATGATATTCTGAATAAGATTGGTTCTTAAGATTTAAATTAAAGATATGCTCTTATTATTTCAGGAGATGCTTTATTGCATGCATTAAAACCAGATATTTAAAAAAAAGTATCTGAAATTGGAAAATGTTGTGAAGTAGTGTTATGTTGTCGTGTAAGTCCAAAATAAAAATAAGATGTTGTAACATTAATTAGAAATTAAAATTAATTATGTTCAACTTTAGCTATTGGAGATGGTGCAAATGATGTTAATATGATAACAGCTGCTCATGTTGGTGTTGGAATAAGAGGTGTTGAAGGATAATAAGCAGCTAGAGCAGCTGATTACAGTGTATAAGAATTTAGAGAATTAAGAAGACTTTTATTTTATCATGGTAGAGAATGCTATCGAAGAAATAGTGTATTGGTTTGTTATACATTTTATAAAAATATTTTGGTTGTTTTACCCTAATTTTGGTATGGGATTCTCTCTATGTATTCAGCATAATCTTTATATGACACTTTTATTTATCAATTATTTAATATTTTGTATGGGGCCCTTCCAATTATGATTTATGGAATATTTGATGAGGAATATGATGCAGATTAATTGACTGATAATAGGATTCAAAATTATTATCAATAAGGACCAAAAGAATTGCTATTTAACATTTAAATTGTTCTATTTTGGATATTTTGTGGATTTTGGTAAACAGCTATAGTTTGCTTTTTTCCAACCTATTCTATATCTGAAAATTTTGTTGATGATAATGGATTCACTCATCATTTATGGGCTTAAGGAACAATGATTTTTGGTATGGTAATTGTTGTTTGTAACCTAAAAATATTAATATTTTCGAATACTTATACTCCTGCTTTATTGGTATTTAAAATCTATAATTAATTAGGGAAGTATTGGTTTTAGTATGATATCATATTTACTTTCGTGGATAATATTAGACAATTTACCATCAGCTGAAGCTTATGTAGTATTTGAATCGTAAATTATTAATTATAAATTAGACTATTCTAAACTCCAAATTTTCACTTTGGAAATATTTTAGTAATTGCATCAATTTGTAGCATTGATATAGCATTGAATATAAAATTAAACAGAGTTTTATTTAAAGTTAACAAGAATATGTCATTAAGATTACCATATCAACAACCTACTGTTTAACCTTAATAATTTAAACCATCTGGATAAGTTGCTAATTAAAAACATACTGGATTTGCTTTTAATTGCTTGGATAGAGATGAATTAGAAAATCAAGATAAAATGGATTTGTATGGTATTGATAATTAGGTAGAATCTTAGCATGGATGAAAATTTTGTTTTTATTATGATTTATATTATTGAATCAAACATTAATAAATGTTCTAAAATCTAAGCCATTTCCACTGTATAAGTATGGTGCAATAAATGAGTTATCAGCAACTTTAACATGATATCCGTAATCTGTTGGATTACCATAGACTAAGTTATTGGTAAATTAAGTATCTTGAGCAAGTCTAATATAATAGGAATAATTAATTACTTAATTTAACTTGATTGAACATTTTCTATTCTACTAATGATACGATTTTATTCAAAAACAACTTCATATGAATTATCAGTATTTTTTAGAACTTGTCTAACAAATGGAATTGCTCTTTTAGCCTAAAAAGATATTAATAATAATTATACCTATCCTTATTTGGCTAGATAGAAGAAAGTTGCTGCGACTATTGGAACAGTCAAAATAGTTGAGTAATAAGCATCACCTCTGTAGAATAAATAGAGAAAATAACCAGCAAATACTCCTGCTAATAATTAGTATCTTAAAACATGATGTTCTTATGCTTATGATTCATAAACTAATTTTTATCCTTTTTCATTAAATCTATTTTATGCAAACCCAGATTGATATTCTTTTTCATATAATTCTTATAAGAATAATTTGAAATCATGTCCATCAACATTTCTAGCATATTCTTAGTCTTCAGCAGAGAATTATTTTGTTGCTTTATCAACAGTTTGAATAAACAATTATTTTTCTTAAGTTTATTAATCTAATTTAGATGCTACTTAAACATCAGTTCCTTAAAGAGAATCAATAAATGATTTAATCAACCCAACATATCTAAGATAGAAATCATAAAAATACCTTCCTTGATTAAATTAATAGTTTTCAAAGATGGATTCAAGTGATTACGATAATTAGGCTGCTAATTATGGATCTTTTACTTCGGTCTAAATTTTTTTGATGGCTGCAGTTGTTCTTTGTCTGTAAATAGTTTCCAATTATTAAACATAGCCTCTAAAATATTATATAATCTCTACGGTGAGACTAAATTATCATAATGAATTCCTTCTAAATAAATGTTAAACAATTCTTAGGCAGCTTATTTTCTTGCGTCATTAGTAAGTTTAGCAATTTCTGGAATTTTATATTCAAGTGATTATGCAAATTAAGCAAGAGATTCCTAACTTTGTTGTGTTTGTCTAAACAATAAATCTAATTTTTCAGCATGAATCTATATAAATAATGACAATAAAAGTATTTACTTTATAATCATTAGGATTTGGGAAATTTTAAGGTCTTAGTAATTGACTTAATTAAAATATTCCAGATAAAGTGGTTAATTAAGGAACTGACAATCCATATTTATTAGACACTTATTAGAATTAAGTAATTTGTGCTTATTATGCTGATGGATTTGCAGCCTCTCTTAAACATACATACTCTCTTAAGTATCGTAAACGAGTAGGAGTGCATCTATTAGAGATTCCAAATACTCTTCTGAACATGTTTAAGATATTAAATTTAATAAATAATTGGATATTTAAGTTGGCAAATTTATATATTAATCATTTATTACTATTGCTGTTTCCACTACTTTAATTGATTACAGAAGGATTATCTTATGAAATATTAGGATTTTAATTAACAACTGGTTAATTAGATTAAATAGATTTCTTACTTGCACCTAATCCTTATATCAAATCACTAGGTTTAAGAGTTAATCTTTTTGGTTATTTAGTTATTTAGCTAGTACGAGATTAACTGCTTCTAATAGCCCCTGAACCTATATTGTTAACATTTTTATCTTCTTAAATATTTCCTGTTGATCCATTCGGATTTATTAGATGTTTTTTAAAATCTTTAGTGTATTACTACATTACTTAAATTTAATATAATTAAATAAATACCATCTTCATCTGGTTCTTCTTCTTCTTCTTTTGAGCTTCTTTCTGAATCATTAATTGCAGGTGTTTCTTAATTTATACATATCTCTTCTTTATATATTTCTGTATTTGGAAGCGATAAATATTTAGTTCTCCCATAATCTGGTCTCTTTGGATGTTCAGTATCCTTTGAATTTCTCGATAAAATCTCTATTTTATTGTCGAAAGATGAATCAGAACTAAATCCTTCACTATAATGTTCTTATTCTTATTCAAGTAATAATTAGGCTTATAATTCTTTTTATTGTTTCTTCTTCTCTCCATAACGTCTTAAAGTTTTAAAAGCCATATGTACAAATAAGAATTATACAATAGGATTAACTAAAGTAACCTCTTTTGATTATACTCCTACTTGTTTCTTTTTTAATCTCTTATATGTTTCATCTTCTTTTTGTAATATTTTATCTGCTCCTTCTGAACTTAAATTTACTTAGACTTTCTTCCACATATAGGATTTCATGACAGAAAACAATATCTGATGATATTTAACTTATCCAGTGATATCTGAATAAATATTCATTTTCATAATTTATGTAGAAACATCTCGTTTAGCTTAAGCTTTAAGAATTTAAGTTTATTTTAAGACACTTTCTTTTGTATCTAATTGAGGATTGATTCTTCTCCATTCACTGATTTCATCATTTAGTTTTTATTTCAAATCGTAGCCTATTGGTTTTTCCATATCCAACAATAAAGGTACTAATTATTGTTGATTCATTTTCATTCCTTTATCCTCTTTTGCAAATTTAGACCATGATTCAATGAACATATTTTCATATTCCTAAAATTTATTAAGAGGATTATCACTGTTAAAGTAATTGATTTCATATTGATCTAGAATAATCAAAATGAATAGATTTAGCATAATGTATTGTTAAATAACAATAAATATAATAAAGAAGATACAATAATAACCTTGACCATCTTAAATAGTATCAAACATAACTTTATACCAATCTTCACCAGTTGAACATCTGAAGAGTAATTAAAAGGAATGATGAAAATCTGAAAAATTGTTTACATCATCTATAGCCCATCCTGTTCTGATTGAACCAAATAGAAATACTCCTAAGATAGAGAATATAAAGAAAACAAGAAATAATAAGGCAGACACATTTAACATAGCAGGTAAAGAGTATATTGCTGTTTCTATAAGTTTTTATAATCCTTCAAATGATTTAATAAGCCTAAATAATCTTGTTACTCTTAATACTCTGAATACTCTTGCTAATTATGGTCCAGCACTTAAAAATGATATGAATGAGTTTCCAGTGAATTACAATATTAAATCCAAAATAGATGCACAAACAACAAAAAAGTCAAATTGATTCCATTAATTTCTCATATAACCTACAGGTCCTAAGGCAATAATTTTGAGAATAGCTTCTGTAATAAATATAAAAGTAAATGCTGTATTAAGAGATTATAAAATATTTTCATATTCTAATGGAGCATCATCTTAAGATAAACCCATAGTAACAATATTACATACTATAATAAATAATATTGTAGGGTCAAAATATCTGTGTTTGATAATAATAAATACTTTAGCTCTAAAAGGATTCTCAGGACTAAAGAACATAGCTAAATTTGGATTAGTATGAACTATTAGTTTTTATAATTCAATCCAATCAACTTAAGGTTGAGTAAGAATCTTATCTCTTGATGCTTCCTCTGCTAAATGATAATTTACCAATATAACACCAATAAATAAGTTCATCAATAAAATTGATCCAATCAAAATAAATATAATAAAATACCAAGAAAATTGTAATTAAGCTCCTTTTATTGGACCTGCTTCATCTGCATCAATAAACCAATACATTATATCTGGCCATCCTTCCAATGTTGATAATATGAATAAGGTTAACATACCATTTAAAATATTATCAAAATTCACTTTTCTATTCTCCCAAACACCTCCATTTGCTTTACATTCTTCTGGTCCATAATCGTAATGTACTTCATCATCTCCTGTGTCACAATAATTCATTTTATTCTTTTATAAATTAATCCCTAAAATTGCAAACATCATCCAAACCAATATTACAACTATTGCTACATTGAATATACCATTTATTGATTACAATAATGCTGATACCAATATTTTCATTGATCTATTATGAGTTATAAATCTTAATGGTCTTAATGTTCTTAATAATCTTAAGATTTTTACGAAACTCAAATTAATTGTTGAAACACTCACATCAATAAATGATGCTATCACTATAAAAAAATCTAATATATTCCATGATTCTCTTAAATATGAATTTTCTTATTAAACAAACCCAAAAGCTATTATTTTCATAAACATTTCAACTCCAAAAAATACAGCAAAAAATATGTCAATATCTAATGAAATTTCTTTTAATTCACCGCTATCTGGAATATATGTGTCGAATACTAATTTTGTTGATGTTAAAAATATCATAAAGAAAATTAAAGTTTCAAATTTATCATCTTTTACAATTCTATAACAAATTCTTCTAATTAGATTATCTTAACTGAATAAATACACTGAATATTAACATAGTCCAGGTTCAACAAAATATTAAAATATTTATTAAAATACTTTATTTTTTTTAGATTCAACATCTCCATTATTTTCCAATTATTAAGCAATTGTAGCTTTTTTTGTTTTCATTGTCGATTTAATAGTGCTTGTTGAATTTACTGCTTGTGTTGTATTATCCATAATTGAATCTTATCCAATTTCAATATTAGTATCTAAACCTGCTTTATCATTTTTATATTCCTCTTCAAAATTTTCAAGTAAAATTGCCAGAAATAAATTTAAAAATACATAGTTTCCAATCATAATCCAAAATACTAAATAAGGTACTGTAATAAATGCTGAAACATCTTAAATCAATAAATCCCATAAAATACTATTCCAATTCTCTAATGTAAGTACTTAAAAAACTACTAAAAATGCACTCTAAATATCATCATAATTTTATCTACTAGGTGTTTTAGATAATTCTCCTCCAAAAAATGCCATCCCTAATAATGTAAATATAAAAATAAATAACAACAGTAAAATCATAATATACATAAAAGATTTAAATGCATTTCCTAATACTTTGATTAAAAATCCCATAAATTATAAACTTCTCATTAATTTAGTAACTCTCAAAACTCTAAATGCTCTAAAAATTCTTACTGATCTAAAAGCTGATAACGAAGATTTCCCACTAGTTCCGCCTCCTAAAAAAAATAGTTCAACTAAACTCAATGCTACTATAACGGCATCAAAAATATTCATTGTATCAGATATATATGTTTTTGGTCCCATTCCAATCACTTTCAATCCTAATTCTATTGTGAATAATATTGTAAATCCTAAATTAAATTGACTTAATGTATCTGCACTACTAGCTGGGAGTAAACCATCAAGAGCTAATATTATTGTGTTAATTGCGACTGCTGCATTCATTGCTGCTTCAAAATACCATGATTGTGTAAAATATAACAAATGATTTTAACATACTTTTAAAAATCCAACAAATCCTTCTAAGTATATAAAAGTTTCTCTTTTTGAGTAATTTAAAGCTTTCATTACTGAATTCATTTATTTAGCAAATTTTTAGTCATAAAATGTATAATCTGCAATTAATAATACATCTTCAATAGAAGCTTATGCAGTAATTGTACCATTACTTTCTCCTATATCTCTTTATCTAATTTCTTAATATTCTTAATAAAAAACTCCATTTTATTAATCTAGTTCCCAAGAAGGTATAAGCGCCATTTCTTATTAATTAAATTATTTATTAATTTCAACAGAATGAATTCTATTTAAATCAACTATGCAATCAGAACTTTCTTAAAATTTTTCACCCATTTACTCAAAATCTAATTTTTCATTTTTTTCTTATTCTTTTTTTTTCTTTTTCAATTTTATTTTTTGAGAATTACTTCCATTTAAATTATTATTATTTTTTTCATTATTATCATCATCTTATTCATCATCTGATTCAGAGTTTTCATTAGCGTTATCTATATTTTAATCATCTTAAATTTCAAAATTTTTATCAGTTGGAAATTACAAATCTTCAATTGGATGTAATTCATCCATAATTGGTTGAACTCTTCTAAGACTTAAATTATTTTTTTTAGATTTCATTCCTGATTTTAAATAACCAGATTTAGTCATACTTTTAATTTTACCAGAACTAGATTTTTTTAATTCTAAAGATTATTTTGCATTTTTAAAACAATATGTAATTTTGATATCCATTTCTTTAATTTTTTAATCTTATTCTAATTTTTCTTTTTCTAATTTTAATAACATTCTAGATACTAAAACATCATCAACACTATTAAAATCTGAATCAATAACAATAATAGGGTATAGTTTTGTGTTAAATAATTTAGATTTTAATTTTAAAGAAGCATCATCTAAATGTTATTAAGCATTTTTATTTAGGTCTCTTAATCTTTTAACTTCAGCTCTTTTTTATCTAATAATTTCTTTTTAATTAAGTTTTTTTTTTTTTTCATTTTCAGAATCATCATTTTTATCTAAAACAAAAATATCCATTTCTTCTAATCTTTAATCAAGATCATCATCAGATATAGTATTTAATTCACTTAAATTTACACTATCAAATTCATTTTAATCAAGTGATTTTTATGAATCAGGTTTAGGTGAATTTCTGGGAGGTTTTTAATATTTCATTCCTGCAACTAAACTAAACTTTTAATTTGATTTAACATTTTATGATTATTATTTAACTATTAAATAAAAGTAATATAAATACTTTCTCCTAACTTAGGAATTTCTAAATGATTTTTATTTGGTGTTTTATCTTACCTTGATTCACCACTTTTACTACTATCCATAGATCCTCTATGATGTACTAACATAGTACCACCATTTAATGGTCGAATATTCTCATTTTATAAATCTATCATAGGAGAATTTAAAAATTCTGAATTCATTTATTAATCTCCAAATTATATACTTTTTCTTGGGATCAATTTAGTTTGTTTACTTTAACTATCATTTTCAAAATTATTAGAATTTGTATTATTTTTATCATCTTTCTTTGAAGATGTTCTATCATCATTATTACTACTTTAACTACTTCTTCTAACCATACTAGATCGAATATTATTATTATTTTGACTATTCATTCCTAAAGATTGTTAATTTAATTTATTTTAATTACCCATTCCATAAATACCTTCAATTTTTAATTATTTATTTTTTAACATAATTGGATTACTATAATAAACTGCTGATTTTATTGGTTAAAAACTTACCTTATTTTTATTTCTTATTTTTTTCATATTTCCTGATTTTATCATATTCATTAAAGAACCTCCATTTCTAGAATTTTTTCTTCTATTCATAAATACATTTTAATCAAATTCATGATGCTTATCCCAAGTTATACCATAACCATCAGTATCTACTTTTAATCTTTATGGATCATATAATTTTAATTATCTTAATTATTTATAATCATATTCTTCTATCTCTTCTTTTATTTAAGCTAATTCTTCTTGAATTTTTTCAGGTTTAAAGTTTAACTTAATAATAGCAAGTGTTAGATTAACTAAAAAGAAGGCTCCAACAATTACAACAATAATAAAATATAAGACTACAATTTATGAAAATGTAAGCATTACTGCTGTTTATATAGTAGTCCATCCTTCTAATGTTGTAATAATAAAAACTTATAAAAAAGAATACCCAAACGTATCAAAATTAACTAAATTATTCTATGGATTAGCAATTTATTTTCCACATATAAATTTTTCATTAGATGCATCATTTTAAAAAGGACAATTGCTATCATCTGAACAAAATAGAATTTCATCAGAAATCCATGTGATACCTGTAACTTCACCTATACATCTTCTTTTCAAATATCCAGAAAATAATGATACTCCTGCTATTGCAAATATTGAATAAAAGAATATTAGAACTACTACAGCATCTCTCAATTAAGCAATAGAAGCAAATAAAGCTAATAAAATTGTTCTTAATGCTTTTATTGATGATACTGTTCTTAAAGGTCTTAATACTCTAAAGGATCTTAAAGCATTTAGATTCACTGAATTAGATTCTAAAAAATAAGGAATGTATGCAGTTATAATCACAGAAAAATCTAAAATATTCCAAGTATCTTTCAAATATGCTTTTTTAGGAAATATTAATCCCTTAAAATTATTATCATATTTTACTTACTTATGCTATTATTTTTAATACTGCTTCAGCTGTATAATAAGCTAAAAATATTATATCTGTTAAATCTTAAAAAGATGTTTATACGTTAGTAGTTGGATCATCCATTGCAAGCATTGCCGAATTAAAAATGATCATTAACAATGTCAACAATTCAAATAAAGGATGTGTTGTTATTTTTTATGCATATGAAGAGATCAGTTTTATAAATATCAAAATTTATTTTCGAATAACTAAAAATGGATATCTACTTTATAATCATCTCTATTACTTATCACTATAAATCTAAGCTAATTATAAATCATTTTTTGGAATCAATTTTAAATAAGTGTTTATTTTCACTTTTGTTTCTTAATACATTTAACCAAATTCTTCTTCTAAATCCTCTAAGATATCTTATTTCTAATTATCATTCATTAAAACAAAACTTTAATCATCTTATTAATTCACATTTGATTAATCATCATTCAAAAGTTCCTAAACTTTTTTTAAAATTTCTCTATTCTACTTTTACACATATTCACAATATTTCTTAACTATATTTGATTAATACCCCATCTTCGCTAAAAGACTCTCTATCCTCAAAGTATATCTCCTTATCCTAAATTGCAGATAAACGCTATTTTAATGTCGCAGTTACTGCTTCTTCTTTTGACATATAAATATATATATTTAATATTATTATGTGTCAAGATATTTAAAAATTCTTATAGTCTTTCAACTTAACTTTAACAAGTCCATATTTAATTTTATCTACTCAATTTATCAAAATAGAATTCTATCATACAAACTATATTTACAAATGTTTTATTATTTTTTTTAAAGTACTTTATTTTTTAATGAAAACAAATTTTGTCAAAAAAACTTCCTTTTTCATCCCGAATTTTTTTTCATTATATATAGTTATAGGATATTCATTACCTTATTAAATAAATTTATTAAAAATACAACTCAAGTATTATAATAGATAAATTAATTTTTAAGTAGTCTCATATTTTTTTTTGACATATAATGAAAAAGTTTAATGAAAAATTCTATACGAAATAATTTAATATTTATCAAATAATAATTTCAATCACTTCTAATGTCTCCTTTGGGTATGTCTTTATTAAAGATTTTATAATTTTTAAAACATTCTCATCACAAAATTCCTTCCAAAATTATGGTCTCTTCTTGCTTGTTTTCAATATTCTTTTTAAGGCTTGATAAGTTGATTATTTATTAATGTAAAGTGATTAATTTTTACTCAATTCTCTTAATTAAGTTCTATATAAATTCACATCTTTGATGTAATAATAATCTTATTTTGCAATTATTTATTACAATAATTATTTTAAATATGTTGAAACAATCTATTTTGATGCTTAATTAATTTTTAACTAACAAATTAATTCAGTCCATTGATTTGTTTATAATTTCTCAACCATTTATACCTAATTTATTAAGAATAATTTTACATTAATTTTTGTGGCATTCAAAAGATACTTAATAATTTAAAGATACAATAATTAATTCTTCTTTTCCATTAAATTGTTTAATAATTAGATTTATGATTCAATTTCACTTTTCATTATATCTCTTAACTTATCAAGTGGTAAATTCTTTTATTTTAATCTACATTGTTGTTAATCACTTATGTCAAGATTACTCAAAACATCATATATAATCTAAAATATTCATATATATAAGTTTTACTTATAAATCTAAAAAGAGTTGATTTTAATTAAAAACTACCCATAATTCATCATTTATATTTTTTCCATTAATGTAAGTTAAAAGTAAGACACTTGAAATACCTTTGCCTTTAAAGTCAATCATTTATAAATAATCAACTACCACTCCTATATTTTTAGTCGATTTTGCTAATGCATAAAATTACTTAGATAGTTAAAGTAAATATTAGAATTCCCTTTTACCTTTCTGATATTACTCGTTATAAGACTTAATTCCTTTTTGGAGCCATTAAGAGTAGGCTTTTATTAAATCTTGTTATTCGACTAATAAAGATTATGCTGGTTTAGGAGTTGGAAAAGCTATTTATCTACATTTTTTTGTTTAATTCACTATAGGTTACTATTTTTATAATTCTTAACGTAATAATAAAGCTTCATATGGATCATAATCATCTCCAAAATCAATTGGAATTTCATCAAAATCTAAATAAGGTTCAAATTTATTTTTTTCTTCCAAAGATTCTGTTTCAATTTTTTCTGATTAAATATTTTCTTTAGGAAATACATCCCATGCATATTCAAATATTTCACTTTTTTTATTCTTCTAAAATATTATTAATTCCTCAATAAATGTTCTATTAAACATATTTTAATTAGATAATTTCCAAAGTTATTTAATATCTTCAACTTATGATAATGTTTCATTTATGTCTTTTTAACAATTCTATAAAAATTAAAGATATCTCAAAAGCAATTGTGAATATTGTTTGTAATTAATGGTTTCACTTAAAATATCAAAAATTACATTAGGAATTTAATTATAGATATAAAAAAGTTATGGTAATCTTGTACTTTATATTTTTTATAATTTTTAAATTATTTGTGCACTAGTTTTGCTTTTAATTTTTTCAATAAATATTTTATCTTTAATAGATCGATAATCATATTCACTACCAAGTAAGGCTTTGTGATTCTTTAATAAAATTTTTAAGAGTTTTTTAGCAGAATCTGTAATAATTGGTTAGTTTTATTAGATTATTGCTATCAATTAAGGTATAATAGTAAATTTAATTGTTGGATTTTGATATGCTTGCAAAGTTATTCCAAGACAATCTAAACTATTAACTAGATTGATTTATTATTCAGATAGAATAGATTTGAATTTATGATTACGTTATTTAATATCTTAAAATATATAAGATTTCATTTAATTATTATCTTAATTTAAAATTGACATAAGTTTAGTCATCATAGCTTATGATAATGTCATTTTTTAAATGTAAACTTACAAATTATTATAATTATTTTAAGTAAAAGTAATTGTATGAGTCAATAAAGTATAAATTTATTCAATGTAATTTAATGGAATTATAATAAAGTTATTTCTCTTTTAAATGGTTCGATATTTAAAAATTTCAATTTGATCAACATTTGGTTTATTAAAAATAATACCTGTAATTGCATAACCTTATGTAACAGTTATACTAGTAGGTCCAATTTATAATTATTATGGAGTTGCTAAAACACTAGGTGCTAAACAGAAATTTTATAAAGGATTAAATAAATTAGATGTTTGTTTTAATAGATTTAATTCAAATCTCTCTTTTAATTAATTAATTAATTAGTCTTAATTTTCATTTTTTCTATCTTAACAAAGTTAGGTAACATTATCTTTTAAATTTAAACAAGCTGAAATCAATTATTTATTTTCAGCAATAGCTAATGCAAATAAATTATATTCTGGATCTTTTAAAAGGCAATATCCTTCTACAAAATTATCAAAAATTTATTAGACACCAATATTTCCTTTATTATTAATTTCAATAATAAGTAATCTACCACTATGAAAATTAACTTATTAGTTTGTTTGATTTTATTTTTATGCTAGAACTGAAAATTTTAGATTATTTTTATTTTAACTTATAAATTAAGGAGATGCTAATAAACCATCTAATGATTAAGAAAATAATAATTCATCTAATCTAACAATATTTATAAAAGCTTTGTCTTAAAAAGTACAAAGAAATGATGCTCCATTTTTGTATGAAATAAGTAAAATGGAAGTATTATTAATTTTAGCTAAACAATATGGTGTTTTATCTCTACTTTTACCTTTTAGTTGATCATCTAAATTAACTTTTTCTGAAATTGGTATTTTTTATTATCCTTCAACAAGTTTTTATTAATATATATCTCCTTATAAATCTACACATAAAATAGTTCCATTAATTATACAAAAATCTTTTATTTTCTTGTCATCTAGATTTAGATTATAACATTATTAATTTGATGAAGTAATATTAAATGTATAAATAGAATTGAATGCTAACCAAGCAAACATATTTTAATTTATCCATAAGGTTTTACTAATTGGATGTGTAAAACGAGCAATTACAGCCTTATCACTTTAAGGTGTACCATCTTATTTTAATTCTATTAAATGTATTTCTAATAATCCTACTACAAGAATTTATTTTTAATTGTAAGGATTAAATAAAATTGTAGATACTGGTGGTTTACAACCTACTTTTGTATAAGGTAATTATAAACCACTTGTTCTTTTCTCTAAAATTTAAAAATATTTAGTTTTATTAAATATTTTCATCTCACTATGACCTGCTACAGCAATAAAATTATCTCCTTCATCAATAACCTTTCTTATTTAAAATGCAACATAATATATTCCTAATTTTTATTATATTTATTCTTATTAATTTCTAAGTTCATTCAATACATCTATATTTTCTGTCTTATGTTATATTATATTATTTTGTGATATTAAAGTATTTATTTTTTGAATGTTATGAGGAATTTTCGATTATAATTCATATTCTTGATCTTCTAAATCATTTTAATAATTTGATTCTAAACTTTTGTAATTTTATATTGTAAAATTACACATTTATATTAATTTATCAAATAGAAGATCAAAATTTATTTTTAATTTTGAAAAAAATTTAGAATCTTATTATGGTTTTTTATAATTTTTAACTTCTTTTGGTTCAAATTAATTTGGTTCTATTTCTATAATAGAATTACTACTGGATTCATATTTTTCAATCACATCATTATTTGATTCATCATGATATTAAATTTATGAACTGGATAAAGAATCTTCTAATTCTACTTCAGAATCAAAATCTTAGAAATTATCTTTTATTCTTGCATATTCTTTCATATTTGGATGTAATTCTAAATCTTTAAATTCTCTTTCTCTTATTTCTCTTTCTCTTCTAAAATATTCAACTAAAACTCCAGATGTATTTGTTGCTGAAGGTGGAAATAAAAGTCTTCTATTTTATTATGTATGTATTGGTTATTTCTGTCTTTATTAATTACATTTTTTTGTTTGATTACATTCACACATTGATTCAATCATATTTTCATATTAAATTTAATGATTCTAATGACAACTAAATGCACAACTTGCACAACATTAAATATTCTTTTTATTATTATTTTAACATTAAATACAAGTGTAGATTTATTGTTGAATATTTTATTATGTACAACCAGTAGGAACGAAATTCTCAGGTATAAGTATCTCTTTTAATTATTATACATCTATATTTGTTTGATTTTAAGGCTAACCATTCTCATTCATCTTTATTATACTAATAAGTTATAGACAATATTCTATCATTGTCTAATTTATTTAGTTGCTATTAATTATGATATCATAAGATAATTCATAAAATTCATTTGTTAATTAAATTTTATCAAATTTATTGATAAGTACTAAAATATGTTATAATTTTTAATCCAAAAATTTATCTTAACTTTAAATTGATTTTAAACAATTAATTATTAATTCATATGGAATCTTATCAAATAAATCTAATATTAAACTATATTCTGAAGATTAACCATATTAATATACATTTGTAGCCAAATTAATAAATTCTTATTTTAAATCTTAATTTTTATTTAAATTCTTTTAAATTCCAATCAATACTAAACTAATTGCATCTTATATTTAATTTGAAAGATAATCTTCTAATTTCTTCTCTATTTCCATTTATTATTTCTTCTTTTTTTATTATTTTATAGGTTTCACAAGCGTCAATACTAATTATAATAATCCAGCACAACTGAATTCTACAATCAATTTATTTATACACATTTCATTTTATTCACCCATTCCATCAATTAAATTATTACTAATACCACAATGTAAACTTATTGCAATTAATAAAGCTAATAATTCAAATTAACTTTTCTAAACTTATTAATATGCTAACTTTAAAAATTCATAATTATCCTAAATTTTTAATATTAATTGAAATTTGTGTGCTGTCATTTAAAGTTTTGTAATATTGCTTATTTACTATTAAACATTTTATTGAATGCTAAATATATCATATTATTTCCATAATAATGCGTAATATCGATATTTACATAATTTGCTTAATTCTACAACTACCATTTTCATTAATTTGACACTTTTTTCATTTTTAAATATTTGAATTATTGCTGTTGCTAATTAAACTTTCTGTAATTTTTTTAAAGAATCCCATATAATATCACTTTCAATTAAATTTTATTCATAAAGCATATTCTATACTTATTCATTAACTAAAAGTGAATGTTATATATTAATTTTTATGTCACTTAATTGTAAAAGTCTACCTATTTAAACAGCTAAATATAAATTTTTCTGCATTCTAAGATAGTTAGTCTCGTAACGTTGTATAGTTTTTTCTAATTTATCAATTAAAATCTTGCCATGTTCTTATATCTATTTATAATATTCTTATTCTTATCCTTCATTCAAATCTCCAAATTCACTAGATCTTTCTGAAATTTCTTCTCCATTTTTTTTTCTGTGTATGAAATTATCCGACAATAAATAATTTATCTTTAAAAGCATCACATATAATTATATTTATGGTTCTGGTTTGTCTAATTCATATTATTAAATAGAATTAATTAACTTATTATAATTGACAACTTTATTTCTATTACACATTGATGAACGTATTATATTAAAAAGTCTTAAAAATTCTGACTCATTTTAATCTGTAAAATACATTACAACATAATAAAATCCTTATATTATTTAAGATTATTTATTATATTCAATTTACTTCAAAAAATTACTTATATTATTCCATTCTCTGTTTAAAATTTATCCAATCCTTTAATTTATTTATGTTGATTAATTAGTCTCTTATCCTATTATTACTAAGATATCATAAAATGACATATTCTATTCAGTTTCAATTAGTTATTTAAATTATGATAAAAGTTTTATTTTTCTCTAAATGATTAAATTTTAGAAAGAATAGAAACTAAATATTTATACTAAACAAATTTCATTAAGTTAAAATCTTAAACATTATTCCTATAAAGGTTCCAACATTATAGATTTTTCTTAAATAATTAATATCACATGTAAAATGACATATTAATATGGAGAGATAGATTTATTAAGTAATTTCTCATATAATTAATCAAATTGATCTTGTTTAATCAATTAAATTAGCAAATATATTATTGATAAAGGATTGGAATGTTTTGAAATTTCTGATTTTACAATATTTTCTGTACATTATTCAAAGCTTACAATAGCATCAATAATAAAATTAATTAATTGATTTTCTTTACTTTATATTAAAACTGCTCTCAAATATTCATAATTCAAATTGAATTTTTGATTATTTGATATTCTTTTCAAAATAATTAATGCTCTATCATAATCAATCTATGAGGAATTTACAATAACTATTATTAGTTTAGGTACATAAGATGCAATATCTAAATTCTAATTCTAAAATATTAATTATGTGAAGATATCTAATTTCTCATTATCTAATTCTTTAAGATTTAAGAATAATTATATTTATTATTCATAAGGAAGAAGTTGTAATTTGCTTTTGCAATCGATATCAAAAGTTCCATTTTTAATAAATTTTGGAATTTCAAATTTAAGTGCACTAAAATCTAAAACCATTAAAAAAACTTCTGGATATTACATAGATAAAAGGTATTCTGATAGTTACTCAATTGATAATATATAGCTTTTTAATAATTATTATAAACTCTTATTAGAACTAAAATTATTAATTAATATTTACAAAATTGAAGTTTTTAAATTTAAATTAAAGTGTTAGTCAATTATTTCTATCTCTTTAATTTCAATGTTAGTAACATTAAATATTTTTTTATTCCAAAATATTAATTTGATAAAATTTGCAAATTATTTTTTTAAATATTCATCCTAAAAATCTGATTTTATTATAAATTTCACATAATCAGCTACTACCTCACACAGAGTTTAAGAATCACAAACTTAAATATGAAGTTTTATATACCTTGAGGCTAGTCGACTTCAAAAAATTATATCAAAATTGTAATAACCTATTATTAGACATTTAATTTGTGATTGAGAGGATTTGATATTGCTAATTATTGAAATAGATAATTACCATTATGCAAATAACTAATGAGAATACTTTAATATTGTTTCAAAGAATCACTTGATTTTAACTTTTCCAAAAATTTATGTAATTATCGCTATTAAAATTTTAAAGAGAAATAATTACTTTAAATGACAATCTTGGTTCAGATTTATGAGCATTCTAAAATAAAATAAATAAATACAGATATTTGCCTGCTAATTTCTACAAGGTACTCTACTGTTTCTTATTGCATGTTTTAATTAATAATTTATAGAAATTAATAAAAATAATAATAAAAAATCAAAATAATGTATTTGACAAAAATTCAGCCATTTAAGATAAATAAAACCTGTAAATATTTTATAATAATTTAAATTGAGTTTAACAAGCAAAAAATTTATCATATTTGTTCTTAATTACAAATTTTACACATTAAATTTACACAAGTTAAGTGAAATTTATGTTAGCAATCAAGCATTTTCGTTTAAATAAATAATTCATATGATTTATTGCATAACTAACAAATATCATCTTCTTGTTGCTGTTGAAAAAGCTAATTCTTATGAAATCAATTAATTTGGATTTATTAAATTAGTAATGATGTCTTAAACATTAATTTTACTTTTAATATCTTAAGAATTTTAGGTAGCAGCAGAGTTCTAATATTATCCATTATTTTTGTTTTAATTTTTTATTGACTTTAATTATAACGATTAGCATTTACTTAAGTGTTCATCAAATTAATAAATTTCTAAATACAATTAATATATTTGACATAGTTTTAATATTTTAAAACATATAGGTAATTAATCTATTTAATTATCTGATTTGTTTTGTATATTTTAATAAATTATATTAGAAGGTTCATGTAGTATATTTCTTCTACAAGATCAAATAGGTTTGTAATTGAATTCATCAGATTTACAAATGGATAAGTCATTTCCCTTAGGTATTGGATTGACTTAATAATTGTCATTTTTATTTTGGATAGGATTTACATTATCATTATCAAGTTTCTAATTTGATAAAATTTAGTTTTATTATGATTAGATGATATTTGACTATCAAAGGTAAAATTTAATTATAATTATTATTATTTATGGGTAATAAAAACCAGAAGGAATAGCTTTTAAAATATATTGATTAGTCTAGAATAGAGTGAATTCAATAAATCTTAGAGATATCACCTAATTTATTAAACGAGATATTGCAAAAGATATTATATAAACTCCTTTAGCAAGAGCAGTATGGAGAAACGATATGAAATTAATTTAATTGTTTTTAGATGTGTAAATGATCTATTATAATTGGTTAAAAGCTAATCCAAATAATGGAGGTTCATTAAGTATTACACCACTTATGTGGGCTTGTAAAAGAGATAATCAATAAGCAGTTTCTTTATTAATTTAATCAGGTGCAGATATTAATATTCGTCCTAATTAAGGTTTCTCTGCTTTAGATTATGCTATTTTACATGGAAATTATCGTCCTGCTTTATTTCTTTTTGAATTCATATAAGAAATTCTTGATTTCACTTCTTATTATCATTTTGCTAAAGATAACGATTATAGATATGTTAATTATGAAATTATGATAACTCATCTTCGTTTAAAAACAAAATATGAACTTATTCCAAATATATTTGAAAAACCTAAAAAATAATAAATGCTTGATCCTGTTATTGATCCAAGAGAAAGTTGGGGGATTTTATATATATAAATTGAGTTTAAGAATCCTCCATTAATTGAAATTGATGAATTACCTTTTGATTTATAACCTTAAAATAGAATGATTGGTAAAATTAAATGGTTTACCGATTAAAAAGAATAAATCTTAATAATACTCTAAAATTAGTCTTTAAGTAATTATATTCCATATATTATATTTAAGAATTAAAACAATAACTCTTAGACAAATCAAAATTAAAATTAAATTTCATTTTCTTGATCATCCTTTTATTATATATTACAATTTAATTTATAATATTTTTATAATTATTATTCCATCTAAAATAATAATGAAAGAGGATATAAATCATCTTCTAAAATTATCAAATTATTATGATATATTAGGTGTTTAGAGAAATGCTAGTGATGATGAACTTAAGAAAGCTTATAGAAAATTAGCATTAAAATATCATCCTGATAAAAATAATGATGAAGGTGCTTAAGAAGTTTTCAAGAAGATTTCAGAAGCTTACTCTACTTTATCATCTCCATAAAAAAGAGAAACTTACACTTTTGAATAATAAAAACCTCAAACTCATCCTCATTAAAACAAATATTATCGACATTTCTAACCAGATGAAGAATTTGAACTATTTGCATAAGTAAGTTATTTATCTTAATGGAAATAAGAGTTTAAAAAGACAGTTCTAAAGACATTAAGCTAGAAGTGAAACAAAATAAACTCATAAGAAACCTTAAAATAATGCAAAATATGCTAAATTATTTAATAGCATAATTAAATTAATTATTTTATTAACATTCCTTTATTTTGCATCTTCAGCATTCTAATTTCCTTTTAAGAAATAACCTTTATATTAATTTTAGAAGAGCTTACAATATTCAGTGCCAAGAATATCAAATAAATTACAAGTATAAACATAATAAATGAGGTCAAATATTTTGTAGGAGATCAATTTAAAAAAGAAAAACTGTCACCAGAAAAACTACTTAAATTTGATTATGATGTCGAAAAGAATTATGTAAATTAATTGAAAAGATTATGTGATGCAACTAATTAAAAATAATAAAACTATATTAGATTAATGAATAAATCTGTTTATTCAGGAGAAATAAGAAAGTTTTAAAAAGCAATTGATTAATTAGATTGGAGTTCATGTAATACAATCAATAGTTTAAAATTGAATTTTGATAAATTCGATATTTATTTCTGAAACTATAAAGCTCAATAAGATTTTCATAAAAATTATCTATTTTATATCAATAAATTAATTTTGTATTTTCTATTATCTTTTTATTTATAATAACGGAAAAAATATATTATTTAATAATTTCCGTATTAATGAGTATGATATTAAGATTTTCTTATAGCATTTTAATTCTCATGTAAATTACTGGTATTAATGATAATAGAAGTATAATAGGTGTTTAAAGAAGGATATAGAATAAAATAGATTGTAATAAGAGTATTAGAAGTTGTTTTGTAATGAAAGCAACCAGTTATTAATTAATGAGTAATAAAAATGGATGAATCAGAATAAATTTTTTTGAAAAATATAGATAGTTTTTTTCAAAATGTTAAGAATAAAGGTAGCTTTTTTAGAGCTTAACATTTTTAGATATGATATTATTAAATATATTAGAAATATAAAATCAACATTCTTCTGAAAATAATTAATTATTTTTATATGCATTAAAGACATACAAAACTATTTGAATCTGGTGGTGAGACAGTAAAGAGAAACTTGCTGGAATGTTATTCTATGTAGAATCGAAAGCCAAATAATAATGAAGATTATTAGTTACGTGAATAGGTGGAGAGATTAACGAATGAATTAATAAATTTGAAGAATAAGGATAAAACAAAAGTTTATGAAGATAAATAGATACAATGCGAAGATAAGAGATAAGAATTATTAAATGAGGTAATAAAATAGAAGGATAAATCAATTGAATAGTATGAGAAATAGATTCTAAGTTTTAAGAACATGATTTTATAGTCTAATTAATAGAAAAAGGAATTACTTTTAAAATTAGAGAAGTAAGATCCAATGAGAAAAAGTTAGGTACTAATGAACTCTAAAACTACTCAAACAGATTTTAATTAAAATCAAGTTTCGTAAGCATAGTAAACAGAACTTGATTTAGGGATAATATTTGGAGTGAAATAAGTTGATCCAAAAATAAAGATGAAACAATAAATATCGAGATTAGTTTAGACAGATACTATATAATATGAAGATAAAGGAATATTGGATGTAAATGAAATGCTTAAGGAATTAGAATAATATAAAATAATTTTAAGAGATTATGATTTAGAAAATAGAAGATTAAAAGCATAAATTTAATGCAAAATAGAAAATATAAATAAAGATACTTAAACTACAGTAGAATAAGAAGATTAGAGTATTTAAGTTGAAGATGAGTTTAAGGATTAGATGAATAGTATAGTTTAAGAATATAAAAGTTAAATTGAGAATTAGAAGTAATTATAAAAACAATATAATTAACAAACAATAGACTTGAATATTATGAGAAAATAATATGATGAATTAGTAAGTAACTACTATTTTATTTAATCTGAGAGTAAAGTGAATGAGAAGAAAATAAAAGAATTGAATGAAGAGATAGATCAATTAAAATATGAATTGTAATCAAAAGAACCAAGTGTAAGTAGTGCAGAAACTGTAACATCACCTAAGGATTCTCAAAGAAGTTTTAAAAAGAAAGGATATAATTAGAAAATTAAAAATAGTGCTTAGGTTAATTATCTTAATCCTCAAAATGTTGATGAATTAATTCTTTAACAAGAGGAAAATTAAAAATTAGTAATTAAGATATCAGAATTAAAGAAAGAATTGGTAGAAAATTAAAAATAATTAAAAACAATTTCAGAAGAATTGATTACTAAAGAATAGATTTTAATTAATTAAGGTTAAGAATTGATGTTAATTCAGTAAGATTTAAAGGAAATGAAAATTAAAGTTGAATCAGTTAATCTTTTGGAATAGAGACTTTAAGAATAAGAAAGTAAGTATTCAGAAGAAATTCATAAGATGGCTTAAAAGTTGGCAATCGTTAATTCAGATTATTTGGGAATGAAAGTAATCAATCAAACTTTACATAATCAACTAGATAAATATTAGAACAAATTAAAATAATAATAATCACCATGATTACTTATAAATTTAATTATATATGTAATTAAATATGTCATTATACAAGTTTCAATCAACTAACAATTTAATAATAAATGCAATTTCTATCAATGCATTTTTAACATGTCAAATCATATTCCACATTTGGTTTAATGTCTTTTTTTCCAAGATATACATCTTTAAAGAACATATATTACTATTTTTGTTGTATTTCATTATAGAGTGGGATTTCTTAAATTTAAATTATAATACTTTTTAATGATTTCCAGTTTATTATAATTTAATGCGAAATCAAACATAAAAATACAATAATTTAACTAATATATCAAAATACTATTCAAATATATAAACTCCAGCATGAAATAGTTTGTTACTACATATTTGTAAAATATTAACAGGGAATCAAATCCAAAATATGATAATTTTTGAAAATATCCATATAAAAATAGAATGTCTAAGATTGTCTCACAATTTGAATTAGCTACAACAGTTATTAAAAATACGTTAAAATTTCAATGCTTAAATATAGAAAAACCTTGGTATTAAGAAATATAAAATTTGCAAACAGTAATTCTAAATTTTCAAAGTATAATTAACTTCTGTTTAATGAAATAGATATAAATAATCCAGAATCAAAGCTTTTATACTTGTTTAACTTACCAATAATAATTTATTTGTAAGTTAAATTGAATTTTATATATTGTTATATCCTTTAAATGTAAACCAATAAATTTAGTCTTTCATATATTTGAATGAGAATCTCGAAGATCTCTTTGATAAATCTCAGATGTGATTCTATTAAATGAATTATGACTAGAATTACCAGATAAAACAAAAAGCAAGTATATCCAATAAATAGATTTGAATGCAATAATCTATTCTAAAATTTCCAGTTAATTAATAATAAATATCTTAAATATATTTTATATTAATAATTAAATTTATATTAAGTAAAATCAATAGGCTTTTTGTTTTACTCTTAACAAGTGTCTAAATTGATCTAGCTTGCTACTAAAATCATCTAATCTGGATGATGTTTTAGAACTAGCACTCGGCGTACTTATTTTATTATAATTTGATAGGGCTGAACTAGGTCTATAATTTGATCTATCCAATTTAAATGAGTTTAATGATAATTATTATTCTTGATTTGACAATTTTTTTTCAAAATCTCTTAATTGTTTCATAAATCCAGTATTTGGACTTACAATTCTTCTTTTATTTTGGATGTGAAGCATAGTTTAATTCACACTCCAATTATATTTTTACATCATATATGCAGCAACAATTGCAGCAGATCTAGATATTCCAGCATAACAATGGACCAACACATTGGTTTTTTTACTTTAATTTTCTATAAATCTTATACTTTAATCAAAGTATTTATGTAGAGGAAAGTCTTCTGAATCCTCAGCCATTATCCACTAAGTATATATATATTTATTACTAATTTTTAAGCTCCTTAGACAGGTACTGATTAATCCAATATTTACAACACAGCTCCAATTTTGTATTAATTGAGCAATTGAGAGTCTTAGGCAGCATCTACATTTCCTAAGTATATTCCTCCACAACCATTAAGTGGAGCAACAATACAATTCATTGACAAGCAATAGTTATTAACGAACATATTTTAATAAACAAAATTAATTAGATTTTGTTATTCATTTATAAGCTAAATAATATAAATTTGATTAAAATGATTCGATTGTAATTTTATCAAATATTATAATACTAATAAAAATAAGTCATATTTTGAATTATTAGATATCATTTATTTTTATTTGAATTATTTATATAATATAAATAAATTATAATAAATATTTATTTTTCATATTACTAAATATAATCATCTAACAACAACAACTTTTTATTCTACATTTTTTTATGATTCATCCTCAAGTTCTGGTAATTTTTATGGCTTTTTAATCTTTTTATTTAGCTTTCTCTTTCTAATGTACACAATAATTAAGATAATGATAATCGATGTAATAACCACAATAAATATTTTGATAGCTTCATAAACTAAAAAATAAATTTTCTTAAATACGAAATTCTTGATCAACATTTTTTGGAGGATATCTTTATTTTACAGTGAGAATAGAGTAATTCAATTCATTTTTAAACCAATCATCAGTAGTAAAATTATGTTTAAGATTATCTGAAGAACAATTACTTTTTACAAAAGTTAGTGTTTGACTTTCTTTGTCAAAACCTATATCCCAATTTCTCATCCATACTTAACCTAATACCATTCTTGTATCACCATAATAGTCTACAACAGGTAAGCAATAGGCATCATGAATAAAAATATCTTTTGTTAAATAATCATTTGGAGTCCAATCAAATAAAAAATTGTTTTCCATTTAAAATTAATAAGTTGGAAAGAATGAAATAAATTACTCAAATGTTCCATGAAGGGTTTTATTATATGTATAACATGCAAGCCCATCTTAAAATTATTTTTCAGGACAGTTTGGAGAATTACAAACAAAAAAATTAATTAATGCTTTAGATACATCTGAATGAGCATTTACAAGAGTAGCACCAGAGTCAATAAATGATCCTCTTCCTGATTATAAATCAGCTCCAGCAAGAATAGTTTTATTATTCACTCTAATTTATGAGATTTTTACTCCATATACATGATTTTGAGGTTAGTATTTAATTGTGTAATAAGCACTATTATGCTAATGTCTACTGTAATCATATTCCCCGATTGTCATATAACCATCAATTCTACCAATGCAAATTGCAAAGAATAATTTCATACCATGTTATTAATGAATATCATCTACTATGTTTGGGAAGGCAAAACTAGTATTTGTCTTAGGAGATAAACCCATTATACCATTTGCTAATTATGTTTTAAATAGATTTGTTTCTCTAGTAGTACATCCAAAAACACTTCTCACACTAGTATCCTTTCTTGAAATTGACTCATCTAATGAATTCTTAGCTTCCATTAACAAATCCCCAAAAATTACATTATCATTTAAATAAAATCCTTCAAGATGTGATCCTTCTGAATAAGAAATTGAAAAACCGCATAAATTACTTAAACATCTTAAACAAGTGCATTCTCCAAATTAACTTTTACAATTTAGTTCTTCATATGTTGATGATTCATTTCTACTATAAAATTAATCTAAATGAATTCCACATTATGTCTTTTAATCACATGCATCACAAGGGAAAGCTGTTATCGAACTTCCAGTATCTATTATAAGTGATTGTTTCTGGGGAGGATTGCCAACATAAATATTAACATAATAATATCCTAAATCTGAACTTCCATATAAGATTGATGTATGAATTGGATCCTCATCTTACCCCAGTACGTAAAGTAATTAGATTATATAAATGAAAAACATATAAAATTTATTGAACATATATTTCTTATATTTATCATTTTCTAATAACTTTAGAACCTAAATATTCTCTTTATATTAAAATAGATTGATTTGATATTTTTAATTTGATCATTTTATTATTCATTAAAATCAAGCTTAATTTCAAAGTAAATTGATATAAATTATTTATGAGACTACATATTAGAGTATATACTATTTTTAAATTAAAAAGAAATATATTTGTTTAACAAAATATAATTTATTGTAAAAGTGATTATCATAAAAAAATATAATATTTACAATAGAAATTGAAAACAGATACCAAGAGTTATAAAAAAATGAGTCATATAGATTGTATTATTTAGGTAATTAAAAATTATTAAAAAAATGATTTGTTTTAATAGATAAAATGAAAAAATATAGAAAATAATTCAAAAAAGGTATTCAAAATAAAATCAAAAGTTTTATATGAGAGAAATTAATAAAAATAGTTATCTAAAATGAGAAAGTATTAAAAAAAGATATCAGATAGTAATTGAAAATAATGAAGATAAAGAAAATAAAAATTAAGAATGTGGATAATTAAATTCGATTTGAAAAATTAATGATGAATAATATTGTACTAATAAAAATGTATCATTATTATGTTAAGATGTCAGAATCTCCAGCATCGATGATGGCTAAACTTGAACATCTGTGTAATTTACCACAGGCGGTACCTAAAATAAGATAAAATCACAAATGCCCATAAAACTCAATTAGGAAGAGCTAAGCCTCCCAATTAAACCCCCATACCTAAATCAACGTTGTTTCCTTAATATAAAACAATGGTGATCTAAGCCAACATAGCATAGTATTCAATTTAGGTCTTTCTGATAGTTGGACAATTGTTTGAAATGAATACAAGCTTGGCTGTTCCATTTCTAATGGCCTTCAAAGTTTATTTGTAACCCATGGTGATTTTTCCAGATCTAACCACCAATTAGAGTTTTTAATTCACACTCTCTTAAGCAACATTCTTGACCATTTTAAAATTAATTTAAAAATTTTAATATCATATTTTTCCTATTATTGCTCTTATTCTCTCTAAATCTACGTCTTCTATTTAATATTGTTACACTTCTTCTAATGTTTGTAAAGTCTTTGTACTTGTTCCAACTTTCACAACAATGTATGCTTGAGCTTTGCTTCCATGAATGTACATCTTTATTTCTTCATTTGATTTTTTTTCATGTAATTTTATTAGTTCACTACTATTTATAAAACATGAACCCAAAATCTCTCTTTCTGCTCCTGAATTAAGCACTCTAAATTCTAAATTACAATTAGCTTCTAATCCTACATTAAAACAATAATTAAAAATTGGATTGCTTTCTCTTACTTATACTGGAGTTCTAAATGATTAATCATTCATTAACATTTATATAACTGGGTTTGGTGATTTGTTTTAATTTAACATATGCAAATTTTATGCTCTCAATACTTGAATTACAATTTCATTTACTTTTTGAACTTCAATATTCAAATTTATTTTAGACAAAAATATTGAAAAATCAAATTGATTTAAATATTTATAAGCATTCTTATCAAATACATTTGGTTTTGTGAATAAGGAATAAGACTTATCAGTGAAATTTACTATATAAAAAGAGTCTAACAAAGATTTTGCTTTTTGTTCATCCATAAATCCATTATTAGATAATTTATATACTTCTTCTATTAAATCCCATGTTAGATTTTATTCTGAGAGAAAAAAGTTCTATTTATTTAAATGGTATCCTATTTAATCGCTCAAAAAAGCATATTCATTATTATTAACTAATTTTGTTATATACTCAAATAGTTATCTATCAATTTTATAATTCTATTGCAATTCATTCAATTTTTAACATCCATATATTTAATTTGAAGAATAAAACTTCACAAAATTTGGAATCATATCTTCATACTCATTTATTAGCATAAGTTTAATTCCAACTCTGCTGATAAAGCAATCATAATTTAAAGTGAAATACTCATTCATACAAATAAATCTAGTATCAACTTAACTTTGAGTTAAATGATTAAATTTAATATTTATATCTCCTAACTTAACATCTTTTAATTAATTAGCTGTATTTTTCTTACTAGAATATACAGTTATACTTAATTCTTAATAGGATGACATTTCAATAGCTAAAAATGTTTAAACCAATTAACTTGACAATTCTATCATATATTAAAATAATACTTTTTTTATCAATCAACTCAAGATTTGTTTAATGAGTTTTACCATTGTGTTTCAAAACAAAATATATAAAAACAGATTCTTAACCTGCTGGTTTTAGCAATTAAGAGATATTTATAATTATCTCTCTAATTGAAATCAGACAAGTAATTTATCTTTATTATTCTTCTTATTCTTTTTCCTTTAATATTGCCTATTATTAGACCAATGGTATTTTGTATTTATTCAATTAACATTTCAATTTAGCCACTCCAACAAATAAGCCAAATTAATTTGTTAATGCAAATTCACCCTCTATCTATCCCCTAAGTAATTAAGTTTACATTAACTCACATTTTCCTATAAGATTTTAGGTATTACTTGAAACTTAAATTATCATTTGTTATGATGACAATTTTTGTATCAATTCATTATCAACTTATAATTATTTCTCTTCATTAATTATAACTGTCTTTTAACCCTATTATTTTGATCTAAAAATAATAATTAAATATACATCTATGCTGTAAAATTTGCAACTGCATATATATCAACTTTAATAATTTTATCTTCAAATTTAAGTGCTTTATCATTTAGAGTTACTTCAGCATAAACATTTAATCCTACTCTTTTTGGCAAATGAATTTCTTATTAAGTTTAATTATGACTTGATAATAATTCTGGATTAGAAGAGAGTTATTATTATGTTATCTTTTATCTCTAATAATTAATACTAAAACTTAATTTAGCATTAATAGGCATAAATACCAATACTTTGTCCTTATTTAAATCAGAATTTCTATCCATCCAGCTCACTATTTCTTAACTAGAAAGGAATGTTTAAGCCACATTCTATTCATCAGCCTTTAATCTAAAATACATTCCTCCCTCTATAGAATCAACAACATCAATAAATTTATTATTTTACTCAATTTATTATATATAAGTGTAAGTAGATTCAGAAGGACATTAATACTAAGTTTACTTTGAATATACTAATGGATATGATTTGATTAATTATTCACATAAAGGATATTTATATTCAACAAATAGTTAAGTTCCATACGGAATTTATAATTTCAAATTTTATATTTCTTTCAAAGTAATACAAAATCTATGAACAAAAAACTCAAGATTCTTATTTTCTTGATTTTAATTTTCCTTATCCTCTATTTCAAATTGTTTTGGTTTTTTCTAAATAATAGGTATTATTTCTTCTTATTTAATTGAAAACCAATCTTCTAATAATGATTTCTAAATTTCCCAATCTTATAATACAAAATTATTATTTTTTATTTTAATAAATCTAAATATACAGTAAACTTCCCAAAATGATATATTGATTAAGCATTATTTAAATATCTCTTATACTTCTTCAATATTGAGACTTAACTTTTACACCTCATCTAATTGAATTGTTTGAGCTTTCTATAATATTGAACCCTATATAGCTAAACAATACCAAAATTCATTTATCTCTTCTAATTTTACATAATTAAATTAAATATATTAAGCAATTAGTTCATATAATAATTTTATTGAAATCTTAGTTCTATCTTCATTTTATCCCAAAAAATGTCCAAGAAATTCAAAATCAAAATCTACAATGTACTATTCTAATTTTTATCTTTCCATTATTCCATAATCACTCTTTAATAAAATTTTACTTACATATTCTAAAGGATCTTATCTCTAATCAACTAAATACTATATAAATTTCTTAATCTATTTATTAACTTCTACAGATATTCTAGGTTTAAATATATTAAATCCTGTCAAACTACTAAGCAAATGTTCTTTTTTTATAGAATGTTAATTCTTAAAATCAAAAACTCTTATAAACTTAAAAATTGAATCCTCATTTAAGTTTATAAATTGCAGCTATTCAACACTGAAAAATTAACCTTTTTGTATATTTTTTTATAACTATATATCATTTTTATTTAAATATTACAAAACTTCAATGATCGATTCATGATAATTATCTATCTATTCAAAATTGAATTATTCATATTTTTCTAAAAATGTTAATTCTTTTTATGCTTCTTCAATTTATATTTCTTATTCAACATTTTTCTTCTCTTATTCTTATTGAGGTTCTTCATATTGATTACCAACCTCTTATATACTTTTTGTATAGATATTTTCTATTTTAATTTTGTTTATTTGTCCTGGAATCCCAAAGGCAATTAAAATATGAATAGAACCAACTTATTGGGAATCTCTTATTTTCTTAATAGGATGTTATTCATCAGATATTATTAATGGATAAATATTCTTAAAAATATTTGCATTAAATTCCTAATCTTCATTAATCAATATTTCATGGATTGATTTTAATGATATTCGAATCATACCTAGTAATTCTTTTTCCTTCCAAACTTCAATAATGAAAGGAGAAATTAAAATCTTTTGAAAAGATTCAAAATTTAAAGGAGTAATTACTTAATAATTAAGATAAACAGAATCATTAATTTATGATTAGAAGAAATCATTTGAACCTGGAATTTTAAATCTACAATTAATTTTATCTACTCCTATTATTTTACCTAATCTAATTAAAAGGGTTGGATTAAATGAATGATAATGATAATAGATTGGTTAATCAAGAGCATTTTATTATTCTTAACTTTAAATTAAAGAAGCTTTTAATCTAATTTCTCCTAATCTATTTTATTATTAAATTTAATATTCATTTAATAAATCTTTATTTATTACACTGTATTATAATCCAGAATTTTATGAAGAATTATTTCTATCAAATGGTAAATTTGTATTTATTATAACATAAAATTCTTCATTTGAAATTGCTTTCATTATTTAAAAATATCCCTCTCCTAAAGTTATTTTAAAGTATTTTTAATCATCAGAATTCTCTGGTTTTCTATAACATTAAATTAAAAATTTGATTTAATCAGCTTAAAATTCTTCAAAAGATGACTCATTTATAAAAATTTCAAATTCTATTGTTTCATTTATTGAATATAAATCCTGTCCTTAAGATTTAAAAAATGTTCTTTTTTATTAATTTTTTAATTAGCAATCAATAAAAATATTATTCAAATTTATTGCATTTAATTTTTATTAAACTTATTAAGAATAAGCATGAAAATCAATAAGTTATAACTTTAATTTTCGATAAGAATCAAATGACTTATTATAAATGAAACTTTGATTGGAATTTTTCTATGGAGGAGTTTTGATATCTTCTTGAATAGTTTAAACTCCTCTAGTTTCTATCTGATAAGTAGTTTTAACCTATAATGGTTTTTAGATTGATTCTTATCTTGGAATACTTTCTGTTTATTTTTATTTATTTTAATCCGTAGGTTCAACAGGTGATTAATTTCTATTTGATTTGAATTTTGGTGGATTAGGTTTAGTATTTTCTGGTTTACTTGCATATCTATATTAAGTAGGAGAGTTATTGTAATGACCACTATTAGGTTTTGAGTTTCGAAACGGTTCTTATTATTTGGAAATAGAATGACTTTTTTTATTACTACTATTTTCTTAATTATTTTATTAATTAGAGATAGAATCAGATCTTTTCTATTTTTATGGACAACAATTAATGCAATGAACAGAATTTAATATCTATTCCATTCTATTTTAAAAATCATCGGCAAACTTAACATTCCCTTGAACTTATGTTTTTTAGCCACTTAAATTTTAATCTTATTTAGTTGGAGAAATTTTGTGGGCTGAAACTTCATTAGTAGGATTTTAATTGTTTAAATTTTGATCATTTTAAGAAAATTAATGTTAATTTATTGTAGATTAAGGATCAATATAATTATTTCTTTCATAAAAATTATTGGGATTAACTTCATTATTTTTTTAGAATGGATTATTAGCAAATAAAACATTTGCTAATTTTTATTCTGGATTTTATTATATCCAAGCTTCATTTTCAGTTGGAAAAATAACATTTATTTATGGAATTTAAGTTTATTTATTTTATTATTATTATTATTATTATTATTATTATTATTATTATTATTATTATTATTATTATTATTATTATTATTATTATTATTATTATTATTATTATTATTATTATTATTATTATTATTATTATTATTATTATTCTCTTATGATGATATGTTATAATTATTAAATATTATTGGATTGATTTAATTATGAGCATAATTCTATTTATTATTATATTAGAATAAATTTAGAATTGACTTCAATATTTTGATATCCAATTTTATATTCTTTATTATCAGGCATTTCTGGGAAATATTTATATATTGGATATTATCCAGATATATTATGAAATACTTAATTTTTAGATAAGTCTTTATTTAAATGTCTGGCAAAATTGATTATAATATATCCAAAAATAAGAAATTTATCCTCTGAATCTACAAGATAAATATTGACTTTTTCAGCTTCATTCAAATACTTATGAAATTGAATAATTGGGACTCGAATATCATATTTTAATTCATTAGGTTATTGAAGATTTTAGTTTAATGCTTAAATCAAATTTCCATCTCCTTCTTATCCCCAAAAGGAAATTCTATAGATTAAATTGCCTGAATGAGGATTTGAATCTTGAATCCATGAAACTTTACCCATTTTAATAGAAAATTCTCCAAATGATTTATCTGAGCCTTTATCAGTTCCAGGTGGTAGAATGTTAGAACTTTGAATCATCTGTTTAATTTGTTTAGGTTTATTCTTTGGTGGCATTTAATTCAAATTTTGTTGTTAATTTAATATTAAATTAGATAATGCACAAATTTGCTACATAGTTGTATTAAATAAAATAAAAAATAATTATAAAAGATGTCAGATGATGAAGATTAGATGATAATAGTAGTTGATGATGATTCTCCAAAAGAGAAACAATTTAAAAGAGAATAAGATAATATTTAAAAGGCAAATAATCCATTGATTCAATAAATAACAATATGTGAATAAGCAGTTTAGAAGAGAGTTTATATTGATTAGTTTATAACAAGATTTTCAAAGGATTAGAATAGTGTAATGATAAATATAATAAAATTTTTTAGGCAATATAATATTTAGTTGAAAATCAAGTGATTGAAAATAAGAATGAAGATATAGCTAAGGTTTTAATGAATACAAATGAATTGAATAAGGATGCAATAAATAAATTTTTTTGTAAGCCAGATTAAAGGAACTAGGATATTCTTGAAGCTTATTGTCATTTATTTAATTTGAAAGGTAAAAGTTATTTAGATGCATTGAGATTATTATTGCAGAGATTTAGATTATCTGGAGAAGCTTAAATGGTTGATAGAGTAGTAAAAGTATTTGCAAAAGTATATCATTAATAAAATCCAAATGAATTTAAATCAGATGATACTCCATATGTGTTAGCATATTCATTTATAATGTTATCAACAGATGCAGCATCAACAAAAATATTAGCAAAGAATAAGATGACAAAGGAATAATTTTTAAAAAATAATCTACCAGTGTTTCCAGATTTACCACCTAAATATTTTGAAGAGGTTTATGATTCAATAACAAGAGAACCATTTTAAACAACATTAGATTATTTAGAATAGATGTACAATCGTATGATTTTATGTAATGAAAAACTATAAGGAGAATAAATAACTAAATGGTTATAAGTAGCATTTGATCTAATGAATGGATGTAATTTAGTAAAATATGGAAGATATAATGGAGGTTAACCAAGAAAGTTCTTTTTAAGTAGTGATGAAAAGTAATTCATCTAAAATATAAATTAGACGTATATGTTGGAGATCTATAGATAATGATAATGAACCTGCTAGATATATTAATATGTGTGATGTTCATGATATAGCATTAGGGCATAATACAACTGAAATTATGATTAAGAATAATATTCCTAAAGAGTTTGATATGTTTTGTTTTTCAATTATTACAATTCATAGATCAGTTGACATTAAAGTTAATGAATTAGAAATTAAATCCAAATGGATTAATTATTTAAGAGCAGTTATTATTAATCGTAGAGAATTAGAAGCTAAAAGAGCAGAAGAAAAATAAAGAAGATAAGAAAATGAAGAAAAAAGATCAGAAATTTGGAAAAATGATATACTTCCTTTTTGGCGTTCTCATTGGGATTATGAACCAAATAAACCTTTAAATTATAAGAAATACATTAGTGTTAAAAAAGAAGAAGCTGTATAAAAAGCATAAAATTAAGCTAATTCTTCTAGTGTTTTAGAAAGTCTATGTCGTTGTCTTAAAAAAACTATCTCATTGAATCCTATATAAAATAGATAACAAATATAAAATTAACATTATAGCAATCAATCTGAAATTAATAATGGTAGTAATATCTAATAAGAAATGATTGTTTAAGGTAAAAAAAATAAATCTGTACTTCTCATGATTTTATGGAAACTTGGATTACCTGATTTTGCAAGGAAAACTCTATGGCCAATCATTATTGGTAATAATCTTAAAATTAGAGAAGAACTCTATAGTATTTTTGTTAGAAAAACTACTATCATTTAAGAAGGTATTATTTTCATTATTTTTTTAAGCCATTAGAAAAGATATTTAAAGAGCAAAATAATAATATCCTTTTATCACTGAAATAAAAGCTAAGGAATTATCAAATATATTACATGCCTTCAGTAATTATAGACCAGATTTTGGATACATACCAGATTTAATTGATATTGCAGTTGTTCTTATTAAACATTTATAAGAATATGAATGTTTTTAAGCTTTAGTCAATCTATTACATTAATATCATTTTCTTAGTGTATTTTAAAATGATACAAGATAAATTGAATGGAGAATAAGGTTTTTTGAAGAGAATCTATAGAGAATTCTACCTTTTGTATATAATCATCTAAAAGCAATTAAATTAGAAACTAAACTTTACTTAATGAAATGGTTCTTGAAAATCTATTTACATCAATTTAAATTCACAATGCTTTCAAGATTATGGGATAATTTCCTTTTGGAAGGAGAAATATACTTATTCAAAGTTGCAATTTGTTATATGAAATATTTTTAAATAGAATTAAAAGTAAGTATTAGTATAAATTAATTAGATGAGTAATCTAGATGAAGTTGTACGTATTTTGACTAATTGGCAACCAGAAGTGAATGAAGACTACTTTTTTATTTAGATTGATGAAATCCCTATTAAAGATGACGATTATACTAAATTCTTGGAATAATAAAAAGCGGCTGTCCTTAATACATAAATTCATTAAACATTAATTGAGTCCTGATATTAATTTTACACGTTTAATTAATTAATGTTGATTCCAATAATTCTACTCTTTGTTTTAGGAAAATGTTAAGATGACATTGTTCATTAAGATGGAATTGAAACGATTTAAGAAATCTCTCCAGAAGAATAACTAAAGTAATTGTAGGAATAAAAGCTAAAGAAGGAAAGAGACACTATTTATTATACTTGTATTATTTTAGCAAGAATGCATTTAGGAAATTATGGAAGTGAATTAGTTGAGATAGTTGATAAGTTAATATTAATTAATAATTATTATAGATAACCTTCAAAAGATGAATAATAAAATGTTTGGATCAAATTATATACAACTCATGCCATTTCATGTTCTTAATAGTTTACTTATGATGAAAGTGTTCAGGTGTTATTATAAGTGAGATCAGAAGAATTTGATCATTCAAGATTACCTGCGTTGTTTTCTGAAATTGATTTTAATTAATTTAGAAACGGTTCTTGGGAAAGAGAAATTAGTGATTAAGATAAAACTGTATGGAAATATATTGAAGTAATTTTAATGTATAAAAAATTTAGGACTTTGAGTCTGCTTTAGCTGAAGATTCAAATAAAAAAAAATAATAAGAAAATTAGAGAGAAGATGATTATGATGATTTAGATTTAGAGTATTTGAAGATAGCTGCTTAATAGACAAAAGGAAAACATAGAACATTACATGATTATCAACCAAAATTACAAAAAGCTAACTTTTCAGATATTCTATTTTTAATACTTGTTTTTGTGTCTATAGGAGCAGGTATAACGTGGATTATAAGAAAATTAAGTAGTGCAGATGAATAATAAAAAAAGAAGAAAACTAAACAAAATTGATTTGTTTTTGTATAATCATTTTTTAATCGTATATTTATAATGTGATTTAACTTAACTCATATATTTTTGCACGTTGTAAATATTTATTATAATGAGCAAAATATCAAAAGAAGCATTTGAATATCTTAATAAACTGAGGTAGAATCCTTAGATTGCTATTCCAAAGTTATAGGAACATCTAAAATTGTTTAAAGGGAATATTTTATATAAACCAGGCGAGATTCCTTTGCAAACAAATGAAGGACCTAAAGTCGTTAATGGTTTTAATTTAACTTATAAATATATCAGAATGCATTTCTTTCTTATAGAATCAAAAGCCTGTAGGTGTGTTGAGTTGGAGTAAAGGTTTGGAATTCGCAGCTAGAGATCATGTAAAAGATACAGGACCAAAAGGTGTTACAGGTCATACTGGTACAGATGGATCATCAATGAGCGATAGAGTAGAAAGATATGGTGAATGGAATATGACCATAGGAGAGAATATCAGTTATGGTTAATAAACAGGAGAAGATGGTAGAAATATAGATTATAATATAAAGTAATAATATAATTGATAATTGATGATGGAGTGTCATCAAGAGGTCATAGAAAAAATTGTTTTAAATCAGAATTCGGGACAGTAGGAATTTTTGATGGGGATCATAAATAATTTGGAACATAATGTGTTTTTGATTTTGCAGGAGCATATGAAGACAAAGCAAATTTAAATGCAGGGGGAAATTAAAAATAAGAAGGATATCCAAAAAAAGAATCTGGTCAAAGTGGTCCTTAGATGTAATAAAGAGAATAAGGAGGAGGATCTGCTAAAAGTTAATCTAAAGATCCTGATGAAAAAATTGTCAAAGATGCTTTTGATTATTTGAACTAAGTAAGATAAAATCCTACTCTCGCAATACCAAAATTATAGGAATTGATGAAATTGTTTAAGGGTAGCATACTTTATAAACCAGGAGAGATTCCATTATAAACAAATGAAGGTACAAAAGTTATTTAAGGTATAAATAAATAATAAATAATTATTTAGAATTAATTGTATTTTTGCAAAAATAATAGCCACTTCATCCTTTAACTTATGAAAAAGGATTAGAGTAAGCTTGTATTGATCATGTAAATGATACAGGTCCTAAAGGTGTTTGTGGTCATACTGGTACTGATGGATCATCTCTATCTGATAGAATTGAAAGATATGGAGAATGGAATGGAAAAATAGGAGAAAATATTAGTTATGGATAAAAGAATGGAGAAGATGTTATTATTTAATTATTAATTGATGATGGAGTAGGGAGTAGAGGTCATAGAAAAAATTGTTTTAGTCCTGATTTTTTATTAGTTGGAATAGCATCAGGAGATCATAAATAATATTAAACTTAATGTGTTTTTGATTTTGCAGGTGAATTTACACCAAAAGGAGCTTAAGGATAAAAGCCAAAAGCATAATAATATTAATAGCAAGCTTAAAATATGAAAGATTAAATGAAAAATATGATGTTAGGAGGTAAAGGAGGGAATGTTGGTAATTATGCTCATTAAAATGAAGAAGAAGGTATTATTATTTTATTTCATTTTAATAGAAAAACTTCCTCCTGGATGTGTTTCAGTTAGTACTTCAACATAAATTACAATTAAGAATGGATAAAAAAGTACAAAAATAACTAAAACATATAAATTCAAGGATGGATCAACTAAAACTTAAGTTTAAAGTCTGACAGAAGGTTGATATAAAAATATATAATATATATATAAATATAGAAATTAATTATATTTTATTATTTTTTTATAAAGTTTGTAAAAAAATTAAAAAAAATGAGCTACCATCTCGCTTAATGCGTGTCATCCTTACGCAGGGGCCATGCTAATCTTCTCTGTTACGTTCCAATTTAACGGATGACCCCGAAGGGTTCCAATATTATTAATCATTAATTACTTAATTAAGTAGAAGCTTATAAATAAATTATTTTATGGGTTTATTAAAATTAGAACTATATTTATTTCATCAACTAAACAACTTAATTGTATTTTTATATTTTATCAACAACTCTTTTCTTTCTTTTTATTCTTCATTATTTTTCATATTTAACTTAATAAAATTTCAAATGAGAAGTTAAGACAATTCAAAATTAAATATAAGTCTTCAAATTAAAGAGAATAGTTTTATTAAAGGACGTAAATTAGACTCTTTTACTAATACTCCTTTAGTTATCAATTCTCGAGAACATCCTTAATATGGAAATATAATCAAACAAGAAGAAAATGATATAATGTTAGCAAATTTGATTAATCGTCCGACTAAAGTTAAAAATAAAAAGAAAAAAAAGAAGAAAGCTTTAAATACTAAACTTAGTGCACCTTTAACTAAAATATCATAAGAAAAAATAGAAAAACCTACTAAAACTAAAAAGGTTCTTAATACTAGTATGAATAAACTTTAAAAATAAAAAAAAGTTCATACTCTTCATAATCTTCACACAGCTCCTTTATTTAATTGGGGAGTCAATTAAGAAAGATTAAAAAATTATTTTTTAAATGAATAAATGAAATAAAGAAATGTTTAAGAAACTATGTTAAAAAGAATCAATAAAACTGATTAAGATATTAAACAAAGAAGAGATTAACTTGGAATTTCTTTCTTAAATAATATCTCTTTAGATAAATTCATTAAAAGAAAAAGTAAAAAATTATTATTTATATCATCTAGAATTAAATAAATCATTAACTCCAACTTAAAAGGATTTAAAAAAACAAAAAATTTAAATCAATCAAGAAGAAATAAGAAAATACAAGGAGTTTAAACAAAAAATGATAATGATAGCAAAATAAGAATCGAAAAAAAAAGAATATGAGAGATAATTCAAAATTCATTAAAATTTATAGAATCTTAATAATTATATAAGAACAAGAAATAGAAGTCTTTCAGTAGGAGATACAAAATAAAGAAGAAAAAATAGAACCACATCAACTTATGGAATTATTTATGAAGATTAAAAAGAAAATATTATATCAGATAGATGTCAATAAACTAAAAAGAGAAAGGTTTTATTGTAATTTAAAAATAAATAAGATAAATTTAAGTTAGTATAATCATCAAATCATGAATCAATGAGATTGCCTTGCTCATCAATATATTAATATATGAGCAATTCTAGTAGTGCAAATATTCCAAATGAAAGTGATCCTGAATAAGATTTTGTTAATTTTGATAATAGTTTTTATAGTTAAAAGCTCATAACTTTAGGAGAAGAAAAAGATGAAATAATGAGTTCATAGAGAGATTGGGATGAATAAGATATTAAAGAAATTGAAGAGATTAGATCAATAGAATAAGCTGCAAGTAAATATAGTGAAAAAAGACAAAAATCTTAAACAGATGAATAAGCAGCTATAAAAATTTAAAAAGTTTGGAGAAGATATAAAACAAGATAAATATTAAGTTACTATTAGGATTATTTTAAAAAAGAAGAGGAATAAGCTGAATTTAATTTAAATGATTTACATTAAAGCTAAATTTAGGAATTGATAAAAATGGGATATATAAAGGTTGATTCTAAAGGAAAAATTTAACTTATTGAGTAGGATTAAAGTGAAAAATCTTCTAAATCTTCTAAAACTTCAATATAGAATTAAAAATAAAAATTAAAAATTTAGAAAGATGATGTATCTTAAGTTTAAAAATAAATTTTTGATGCTCATGCTTATTAAGATTATATTGAAGGTTTTAGTGATTCAATAGATAGTGAAGGAAAAATAAGTACAGAGAAAAAATAATTCTTATCAGCAATTTCAGAATAGTAAGAAATGGAAAATTGTAGGGAAAGCACAGAAAAGAATTCATTAATATTAATGAATTAATAAATAACATTTAAAAAGAAAAAGAGATTATCAATCGATGTTGATGAAATTGAAAAAGAATATTAAAATTAATAATAGGTAGATATAGGAGAAATAAGATGTGCTATTGGTTCTGAATCTCTAATTAAAAGTTTATCTTAAGAAGATTAGACATTTAATTAAGAGAAGAGTATTTTTGAATAATCTTCTTTCTAGGATTTTGTTCAGCTTAAATTTAAAGAATTGATGTCAAGAGATAAAATGGATGAACTTATAGCAATGAGAGAAAAAGTATTGGAAGAAAGACTAAAATAATAAAGTAAAACAATAAATGAAGCCTATTAAAATAAATAGATTTCTCCAAAGACTTATGATTAATAGAATAGAAAACTTGAAAAGTGGGTAACTAAATAAAGAAAGGATTTGGAAAAGAAGAAAAATGAAATTATAAAAGGACAACAAAGTACATATGATACTGTGATGAAGACTTAAAGAGATCTTTTATTTATGAAATAAATTTCATAATCTAATTCTCAATCTTACATAAAAATTATTGATAGTTTTAGTTAAGAATCTGTGTTGTATTCAGAATAATCATTAAGAAATAGTATAATAGATATCCAAAATTAGAATCTCCAATAGTTATAATAATAGTTACCTCAGAAAACTTCTTTATTAAGTGAAGAAGATCTCAGCAAATCATAAAATTTTGATGATGAAGTGATCTTTTAAAATAACTCAAGTCCTTCTAATCAATAATTTGCAGATTATGAACCAGAACCATTTAATTTATAATAATTTGCATAATCTTAAGTATTAAGAGTTTCAGATATAGTTAGAGATTAGTCTAAAATATCTGAGAAATAAGCAGAATCATATTCTATTTTAATTTCTAATATGTTAATAGTTTAAGAAATTTAATTATTATGTCAAGAACTTGGAAGACATAATATAGATATTTTTGAATTGATTGCTAAAGCTTAAATAAATAGGCCATCATCTTAATTATAAACTTCTTATGATACAAATTAACCTAAAGGTTTCAAGACAGGAATTCCATAAATAAAGAGTTATTTAACTCATTTAACAGAATTTATGCTTTATAATTTTAAAGATGAAGTATTGACTAAAATAAATGTTCCATTAGGACCATCTTCAAAAGATATGTTAAGATTCTTACATCCTGTTTCTGATTCAACCATAATTTCAGATGAAGAAAGTAATTAAAATGAAAATTACTTGTAAAATATTATTATGACAGCAGAATTATTTGAAACTTTTGAAAGATTCTTAATAAATGAATAAATTTTAAAAAGTTAAACTTCTTAATTACTTGAATTGGAACATATTCATAATAAAGCAATTTTCGATGCTTTAAATGAAGCTTTAGATTATTATAGACCTTATGGAATGGCAGGATAACCTTATGTTTGGAAATGTGATGCTGCTAGATTATAATTTCGTAAAAAATCATTAGATGAAATGCCAAACATAATTAAATCTAGTTTAGATAAAGTTTTAGAATGGTGTCATTATTTAGTTGGCTTTTTAATTGATAAAGAGGATTGTCCATATCCAAAAATGCTAATGTTTGATCAAGAATGTTTAGCACAAATTAAAGAAGATAGAATGATTAGAATGCTTTCTGCAGAAGTATTATTTTAATTTTATACTTTAGGTTTAAGAAAATGAAGATAGATGGATCAGTTACGATGAAGAATATACTGTTGTTGCAATTGACTTATCTGATTTGATTTTTGATCATTTACTTGAAGAATTACTTTAAGATATTCATTGATTTTTATTATTATTTTTAAATAATTAATTAGTACAAAGAACATAAACTCATTATTCCTATTTTAATATTTTTTTTATATTTTTCCAATTAACACTTTGTTCAATAGACAATTTTATTAATCTCTATAGTTTCATACTATATTTCATCAAATGAGAACTAAAAATTCCATCCTTATTTTTTAAATCTTATAAAATATTTGTGTCTCCTTATTCTATATGATCTAAAACCCATTCCTCTTATAAATTTGAATATATATCAACATCTTTATTTTATTAATCAGAACATTCTGTAACAATATATTTTAAATCCATTGAATCATCATCATTTTATTATTCTATGTGTAATTCTTCAAAATATTATTTAATCTTATTGAATGTAAATAAATTTAATTACATTTATTTCATCTTTCTGTAGATCTAGTGTTTACAAATTAATCTTTATAATTAGCTTGTATTTTCCTATTCCAAAAATTCTAATATAATTTAACAATTTTCTTCAGTAAATTGAATTTGAATTAATGGTATACCTATTTCTAAAAGAATAATCTTATCAAGAAGTTTTGTAATATAAGATTAATATGATTTGAAACAAAGATGACTTAACTCTAATTATAGATCCTACCATTTTTTACAAATTTTTTTATTACATTTTTAAAGTTAATAAAATAAAGAACTAAATTTATTTTTAGTTTAAAACTATGAATATTAAGAATAATTAATTGTACTATTATTATTGAATAATTATGTTAAAGCAGATCTAAATTTTTCAAATTACTCAAAAAATATCCAAACCCATTACAATTAACGTAGCTATTATTCTTTAATGTTATGAAGTTAAGGACTCTTTATTTCAGAAGTAATTTTTATATTTTTTTAAATAAATTCCATTATTTAAGATAAAACACTATTATGGTTTATTTTAGTAATATCTAAAAAATCATCTAGAATTAGATTAAAATTTGTTGTCATTATAGATTTCATTGATAATTAAAGTTAAACAATACCTACTTCAAATTATAGTAAATTATCAAATTAAGTTTTCACTTCAATAAAATTTCCACAAATTCTTTTATTGGATAATTATCTTAAGATAGGTTAAAGAGTTTATAGTGATTGCAAATATTAATGTTATTCTTCATTAGATTCTTGGTTAATTGAATTTTCCAAAAATGAGTTATAATCAGATAATATACTTTATTATTTTGGATAAATTTCATTATAACATTTTTTAAATTGAGAATTAAAATTTTCAAACTCTTTTTATGCTTTAAAATCTTTTATCTCTAAATATGGATTTAATTAAGGTTACAAATTCTTAATTTATTCTAATTCTTATTCAATAAGTGTTTAAAATACTGATTTCAATCTGGTTAAAGATGGATTTTAATGCTTGATATTTTATATATAATGTAAAATGACTAATAATTCTTTCTATTATTAATTAAGTTCCGTATATAAGTTAATTAAATATAACCAAGATTCTTTTTTTAAGTCTTATTTAATCTTCACTAATATATCATTAAATAATAGAATATAGTTAATTGAAATATAATGTTAAAATTTCTTAACATGATTTAATAAAATAGATTATAAATTCTTGGCTGTTTTAATATCAAACTATATTTTTTCAAACTCTAATAAGCATTTGTTATAAACTTTATGTCTCATAATGTTAAAAAATTGATAATTATTTATATTAAGCGATTTAAATTATTTTTAATATGATTTAGCTAACTTTAAATTATTTCCAAATTTAATAATAAGTTTCTATCCTGTTAACTAACTTTCGATTTATAAATAAAATTCTGTTACACAATCCAAACTTTTTGCCTATTCTAATAAATATTTCATTTTATCAATGATAGACAAAGATAATCGAATTTATTCAACAATTAAAGTATAATTTAAAATTAACTAATTTAATTCTTTTTAGAAATGAAAAAAATAGATTGAAGCTATACTTTCTAATTTGAACATTTGCTAAGATTTTTGTTATTCAAATTAAGGATACTTTTAAATTATTTAAATCAAAGCTTGACACACTTATTTATATTAATGATAATTCTAGCTTATATGCATTAATCTTTTTTTTTCTGAAATAGTTTATTCTAATTCTTTTGCATGCATTTCAATCGAAGAATATATCTATAATGATAATGATGTAAATTCTGCTTCTGAAGTTTCATTCGATGAATGTCCATTAATTTAGTAATCTATTAAACCTTCATGATTTTAATAATGATGTTATTATTATTATACGGAAACTGACATTACTCTTTCAAATGTTGATGCCTCAATTAAAATGTCTCTTAATTCTAATTAAATTGATTCAAGTTAATTAAAATTGTACTTTATAGATCTATTTAATTCGGAATATCTAGAAATATTATTTGATTTCTAAATTTCATTTATCAAATGATTCATTTATTCAATACAACGTAGCTTATTAGATTTCATTTTTGTATGTTTCTCAATAATTGATTATACAATACGAGCATCAGATTTTAATTTGATTCTTAATTTTTCTCCTTCATTTTCAAGTTATTCATAAAATTATTATTATGAACCAGACTAATTTAATTAACTATTTTCAAGTTTCAAATTGATTTATTATGGTTATCTAAATAATATTAGAAATTATTCTAAATCATTAGGAGAAAAAATCTGAAGTTCATTTAATACTTATTTAGACATATCTAATTAATTTGAATTTCTTAATTAACTATTTATTAGAGGATTCTATTAAATTGTTGATTAATCTAATATTTTTGGAACTTAGACAGATTCCAATTAATTTCCATATTGATTTGAAGAATTATTCTCAAAAATCTTTTTCTTGTGGTTGATGCTCATAAAATTTACAAAATAAATATAATTATGTAAATTTTAACAGAATATTTTATTTTCAAAATATACTTAAACCTAAATAACATTTATACTAATTTCAAAAGTTTGAATATAATGTAATATTGAGATTTCAAAAATATTTTGTTTTTTGAAAATCTTAGTTGATGATAAAAATTTATTTATATAGTTAATATAAAAGATTGTTGATTTTAATTGGTTCACTACTTAATTTAAGTTGAAATAGTTTGATTAAAGTGTTTTTCTTAATATATCTTTCTCAATAATTTTATGACCAATCATTAATTATAAAAAAGCACTGCAACAATGCTATTTCAAAGAAAATATTGATTAATTAAAATGAAAAAGAAAAAATATAATGGAATAACTTCCAAAAGGTATTATATTCTTATTATTTAAGCCACTGTATAGTAATTCATAAAATCTATAACTAATGGGGATATGAAATGCTCAAATGAATTTGTAACATAAGTAATGTCAATGGCTAAGGAATATATCCAATAGGTTTCTGATTAAGCTAATACAATTTGTTTAGAAAATGGAAAAAAAACTATATCAGGAGAGTTTTTTTATAAAGCTATTTAAAAACTAAGCTTAGAGAGTTAAATTCAGTTTTTAAAAGAAATTGAAGAAGAAATCAAAGAGGAGGTGAATGTAAAGTTTTGATGCTATGTAAAGGTGAAAAATTAAAATAAAGCAAGATTTCAAGACGAAGATCATTTAAGATAGCTAGAGGAATAACAAAAAGAATTATATGAAAAAGCTAAATTAGAAAATAATAAAGAATTGGTTGATGAAGAAGACGATTGTAAGCCTAGAAAAACTTTAAATTTACAATTCGATTAAGAAGAAGAAGAAGATCCATAATGAAAAATTTATAATAAAACAACAAAGTATAGTTTATCTTTCATTCAGTGGATCTAATGATGATAGGTACTTTAAGCTAAAGAGGAAAAACCATCTTCATTGATTTCCATTATTTCTATTTTTAATAATATGTCTTACCACTCATATTTAGAGGAGGTGGATTATCATGCATATATTATTAATGAACATCTTTAAATTCTTATTAGTAATTTTTTAATAATTAAGGCAAATCATTTTTATGAGAAGTCATCGAGAAATCTTTAACACATTTTGGAATAGTTTTTTTAAATTCTTACTTTTACTATTTATAATGTTATTCTCTTATATTATTTTTTTTCTAATTGTTAAATTCTATAATTTAAGTTGATTCATGATTTATCCAATTAAACTCGTAACCTTAATTATTGCTTCCCTTTAATTGTGAACTTTTTTTTTCAGCTGATGAATTAATTTTATTTGTAATTCTAAATTATTATTTTTCTGGTCTTTTGGGAATAACAATTATTTTCTTTTCTGATTAAACTGCTTGTTATTTTTAAATTAGTTTAACAGGACTAGCATTCTTTTTTTGATAAAATAGGGATTAATACATAATATTGAACTATTTTTTGTTCATTTGGTGTTATACTTCGAATTTTAATAACTTTGATGTCTTGAGATAATTGAAGTTCTTATTAATTTTTTCTTTGTTTTTAATGTTAAGATAAAGTTGCTTTTCTAGGAGGCAAAGGAGATTTAATAATTGGAGCTAATTTACCAGAGTTTGGCCTAATTGCAATCTCAGAGTTTTTATTTTGAACAATAGATTAATCAAATTCAATCTTTTAGGTTTATTTTTTTTTCATAATCTTATTGTGTATTAATTACAAAAATGAATAATAAAATTGTATATAGTTTTTATTTTGAAGAATTATAATACTCAAAAAGTTTATAATGTTACATAATTTTAGAATGTATAAATTTTGATGATAAAATAGATGAATGATTTTAAAGATTTAAATTTTTAATAGATATATAGAATTTTGAAATAAGAAAAGTTTAATTTCTACATGAGAAATGAAAAAAATGTATTAATATAATTTTTTACTATGATAATGAAGTATTTAACTTTAAATTTTGTATAAATTCTATTATTCATGTGAATATAAATGTTGTCATTCTTATATTTTTGAGAAGATGAGTAAGAGAAGTAAAATATGAATGAGGAAAAATGTAAAAAATTGATGGATTGGAAGAAGCATAAGTTAGAAATATAAGGATTGTTTTTATTGAATAGAAATAAATTATTTATTTTTGTATGCATATATAAGTTTAGTAATTGAGGGATTGAATTAATGCAAAGTTAATATGCACAATGATGTTTTTCAGCCTAATTTAATGAGGTTTGAATTGAAATTGATCTTGGAAATATAAAATATTAATTATATGGAAACTAAAAAAGTAAAATTAGGGGAATATGACATAATGAATACTTTGGGAACAGGTTCATTCGGTAGAGTGAGATTGGCTAAACAAAAATTGAGTAATAAATATGTGGCTTTGAAGATGTTAAAGAAAATAGAAATATTACGTCTGAAATAGGTTGATCATATAATTAGTGAGTTCAATATTTTGAAATAAATAAAGCATCCTTTTTTGGTATGTTAGGCGATTGAATATTATTAGATTGAAATGAGTGGATACACTTAGGATGAACGATACTTATATTTTGTTTTAGAATACATATAAGGAGGTGAGCTATTTACATATTTAAGAAATGCTGGAACGGTTTAGAATGAAGAGGCATAGTAAATGTTTATTAAAAGGAATAGGTTCTACTCTGCTTAAGTTGTTTTAATGTTTGAGTATCTTCACACAAAAAACATTGTATATAGAGACTTGAAACCAGAGAATTTGTTAGTATAAGGAGATGGTTATTTGAAGATGACAGATTTTGGTTTTGCAAAAGTAGTTGAAGACAGAACCTATACATTATGTGGAACACCAGAATACTTAGCCCCAGAAATCTTATTAAACAAGGGTAAAGGAATGTTTAATGAAAGGACATAATAAACCAGTAGATTGGTGGTGTTTAGGAATATTTATATATGAAATGCTTGCAGGTATTTGTATTATATATAAACTCACAAAGGAATTGATCCATTTAATGATGAAGATCCTATGGCTATTTATTAAAAAATATTGAAAGGAAAAGTCAAGTTCCCCCGAAATTTTGATAAGTAAGTGTACAACTAAACATAAATTAGTGAAGCAAAAAGCTTAGTTAAACATTTACTAGAATAGGATGTCACGAAACGATTTGGGAATCTTAAAAATGGAGTAGATGACATCAAATAACATAAATGGTATGAAACACTCAATTGGAAAGATATCATCAATAAAAAAATAAAGGCATAATATATTCCTGTTATTCAGTAATAAGATATGATATAGTATATAGATCTGATTATGATACTTCCAATTTCGCTACTTATCCAGATAGTACTGAATTACCTGATCCTGTAAAACCATAAGATGATCCATTTAAAGATTGGTGAATTAACAAATGTTAAAATATTATTAATTAGAATTTGTTCTCTTTCTAATTTATTCCTTCCTTTGATTTATTGAATATATCAATAATTAATAATAATTAATAAAAGACCCAAATGCTATTTTTGTTGTAATAACTTGATTAGGTATATTATTAATCATCTTCCAGACCAAGAAGCGACTTATTTCTTGAACATAATAATAACTTATTCTAAAATGGCATTTTCTTCATCTCTTTTAGCTTTGGCTTCAGCATAATCAGCTCTCTTATTTTCTAAATCAGTTTGAGCTTAATCAAGAGCATCTTAGGATTCTTATAAAATGATTTTAGATTTGGCTTATTAAGCCAAAGCTGCTTAGATTTACTAATAATAAATATATAATATTAATTACAGTAGCTAATCTATCAGCATAAACTTGTTTTCTTTCATATTCAACCTTCAAATTTTAAACTTCAGCTTCACTCAATGAAACCCATCCAGCTAATTCCCATGAGGCATTAATTTCATTTACTTCTAAAGCTTCAAGAGAGGCTTATAAGTTTGATTCAAGTGATTCAAGTACTCCAAGAACTCTTTCAGCTAATGTTGCACCTCTACTTACTCCTTCCTCTTATTTATTTTAAGCTAAATTCAAAAAGGTCTTAACTTCATGTTCATTAAATAGATTGCTATAACCTTTAAGTTTCTCTGCTACACTTTAAGCTTTCTCTTGAACTAATTCAAATGAATCACCATTTATTATATAACCAGCAACATCTTGCTTTAATAATCTAACAACTTCAAGAGCTTCTCTGTTTTGCTTTATTGATCTCACAAACAATTAATTACTAAGACACTATTCATCAAGAAGAACTTCAATCTTTCTATTAATTTCATCTTATCTTTATTCATTCCAAGCAAGATAATTCTTTGTGTCTTATAATTCTTATTCAAATTATGCTCTGTTTTCTATTGATTATTAGAAAAGCTTTTAGTTGAGTGATTTTATTTTTGTGAATTATTCAATTGTTCTATATTTATTAATTAATATTACTATGCACCAATCCATTCATCTGTTTCATTCTTTTAATCAGCTGCAAATTAAGCATCTTTATTTGATTGCACAAGATCATTCAATAAACCAAAAACTGTGTCTATTGCATCCATTGCCTTTGTTCCTGTTTAAAGAAAGGCCATTATTTAATCATGTGTTGATGTTGCAGAAGCTATGCTCACTAACAAAATTATTGCAAGAGTTGCTTTCATTTATTTATATTATTATCAACCATAAATGCTTCTAAAAATATTTAATTTCTCAAAAAACGGTTAATAATGTATGATCATCATTTTACAATTAACTTTATATCATAATCATCTGAACATATAGATCATCTAATTCTTATTAATACTCCTCATTTCACTAATCCTTATCCTAAATAATCACTTTCTTTCTAATTCTTCACATTATTTTTCTAAAATATTTTAAACTTATAATTAATTTCATTAATTATCACCTAAATTCCTATTACAAAAACTACTAAAGTATGTTAAATTATTTATAAAACTCAGAAATTTATTATATTTTCAAGAATTTTTTCAATTTTTGCAAAACTACACCCGTCCCTCCATTTAAATATTTTCAATAATACCTTTTGATAACTTATATAAAAATTAATTAATAATGTTGATTAGAAAACGAAGAATTTAATTTACTAATAAAAATGAATATTAAGAAAAACTATAATATTTACATCTGTTTTGATAATATAATTAAAGTAATATTTAAAATCTTTGCTAATAGGATATTAAATTTATTAATAGTTTAGTAAATAGAAGTAAAAAGGAAAAAAGATTTTTATATTTTTTAGATTAGAATATTGTTAATTATATAAGACATGATAATGATAATGATAGTAAGAACACAAATATGTTTGTAGATAATGAATATACAAGATATATGTGTTCTTTTGAAGATAAAATTAATGTGATTATTTTTAAATGTCAGTAGTGGATGAGAAATGAAATGATGTTCAATTATTTTTAATTTATATTGAATCATTTAGGAATGAATATTTTAACCTCTCCATAATTTAAATATAAAGGAAAAGCACCATTGGCAACTTTCACACAATCAGTAGCATAAAAGATATTACAAAGGGTTGTTCCTA